AGTGAATTAGTGGGAATCTTAGTGTGAGATGTATAGACGTTTGCGAGGAATTCTGAGGACACTTTCCAGTAGTACAACTAAGTGTATTTGGACGTCGTTTTTAGTCAGGCGAGTGTCCTGTTTACCTTGTGGGCCACCCTACTACGATGATACGGACTATACAGCGGAGGGGAAACTGCCTGATACACAGAGTTCTCACTGTTCCAAATCAAGAGCTATTTAATTCATTGAATAGACCTTAAAGAGAGATCCCACCTATATTTATTCCTAAGTTACTATCAATTCCACTACTTTGGAGACACTAGGGTCCTATGGAGCCATCTCTGGGTACCTCTTGAAATGCATCTATCTACAAACAGACTGTGGATATCATCTGAACCCAAAAGCAAGTTGATAAGGCGCTTAAAATGCGACCCAGAGGTGCTGCTGCATACAGTTACGGGGAGCCTATTCCAGATCAAGCTGTAATATGTAGTAAAGAATTTACATCTGACCTGTTTATTGCATCTTTGTATTGCCAACGTCAATGTATGATTTCTAAGGTCATGTGACGGTACATATCTCCAAGCAGGTGGGGAGGAACAATACGATAGACCATGCAAAGTTCTGTACAAGAGGACTAAGTTATTTCTTAGACTCCGTTTCCATGGCGGTTCAATGGACAGTATAGTGCACCTACCTATGTAGTCTCCATCGCCAGCGCAACTCAATAGTCGTCTGGTGAAACTCCTTTGGACGTATTCAAGTCGTGATTTGTCAGTTAGGTTCATGCTAGGAAAAAGAATGAGTCATATTCCAATATCGGTCTAACACGTAACTTAAAAAGAGCAAGTTTGGACTCTTTTGTATAGAAGCTCTTTAAAAGGAAATCTGATAGTCTTCTAGCTTTAGAGACGATAGCTGTAACATGCTCATTGAAGTTAAGGTTACCAGAATATTGGACGCCCAGGTCGCATACCTTATTGGGTATTTGGATTTCATGCTCTCCTAAGGATAGCGTGCTGTTAGGATATTACTTTTCTAGGTGTAGAATTCCACATTTTTCATGGTTGGATCCAAGTTGCCACTTCTGACTCCACTCAAGAAGATTAAATAAATCTGTCTGAGCTGCTGACAGACCTTCAGTAATTGCACCGTACTGGAGGCTGTAAACAATCTTAAGGTCGTTGGCACAAAGATATGGTTTTCCATGTCTAACCACTTTACATACGTCATTAATATACACGAGAAAGAAGTGAACCAAGAACACTTCCTTGTATCACACCACTTGTAATTAGTTGAGGGTCGGAAAGGCAATTGTTTAATTTAACTATGTGAGAGCGTTCATGAAGAAATGATGCAAACCAGTTATGTAAGGGGTTCTCCACACCAAATGACCTGAGCCTCATGAGCAGTCTTTGGTAGGGCACTTTATCAAATGCTTTCTTGAAGTCAAAAAACAGTACAGCAACAAAAAGGCCTTGGTCACGCTTTTGTGTGATGTATTCAAGATAATCTATCATGCAGATGTCACAGGATCTAGTTTTAGGAAACCATGCTGCGAAGTTGATAATAAGTTGTTATCGAATAGGTAATCCACAACACTATTCTTCATAATTTTCTCTATCACTCTGGAAACCACCAATGTGAGATTAATCAAACGGTAATTATGCAGATGTGCAGTTGGTCCGGATTTATGAGTGGGGATGACAGGTAGTTTTCCAGATGGAGGGGTAGCATGAACTATTGAGTGACATGGAAAATAACTTCAGAAGCAACAGAGGTATGTCTTCACCTCCGTTTTTAATGACAACAGTAGGTATTCCATCTGGACTATCAGTAAAACGAAGTTTTAGAGTTTTTATCGCCGCAGAGATATTTTGTACTGTAAACCTCACATTCTCGATCCTAGAGGAAGGTGCTATTGACCCTTGCAACCAAAATGCAATACTCTTATTTATTACCAAAGCAGAAAAGTGGTTACTGAAAATCACAATTTGCTTAGGGTTATCGCGCACCTAGCCGTTACTAATAATACATTTAATCGTTTTAGGTTTAGATGATTTCAGTCTGGACTTGAGAATCTTTGTTAGAGATTCTTTATTGTCAGAAGATAGAGCTTGACGTTCCTGTCCGATGGCTTCATGTACACGTAGAGCATCAGCACAAATGTCAGACATCGTGACTAGTGAAGAAAAGTCATATTGTCTATGAAAACGGGCAGTAGTTTCCGATATCGATTTCGAAAGTTATTTAGAATAAGTAGCGTTTTCGGCATCATAGGCTTAGCGTTGTTTTCTGGTATAAAATAGTCACGATTATTGCACAAGTTACGATAAAAAGCAGCTGTTAATGCTTCAATAGACGTACTGGTAAAGTAATCTTCCCAATCTAAACACGTTAGTGAAAACTAAAAATCCCTTCAGTTAATGTCATGGTAGTTTCTGTACTGTATTAGCTGTCTTTTGAGGTTAACGGTAAACTCAAAATTTAGGCAAAAAACTACAATATTATGGTCACTTCCTGGGAATCGATGGCCGATATGTACCATAGAAGGAATGAGATTGTTAGCAAAAACTAAGTCTAAAACATTATGTAGTCTAGTTGGACTTCGAACATATTGAAATCACCCGTCAAACTCAAGACAGTGGACGAAAGATTCGTATTGTCTGGGAGCCTTTGTAGGGTACCAAGAGATTTCTGGCATGTTAAAGTCCCCGCATAAAATCTTTCCTGAAAATGACATAGAGGCAATAAACCTAAAGGTCTCTGACAACAAGTTGTCATACTCGGAATTGGAATTGGGAGGACGATACGCGCGCCCGAAAAGGAAGGATAGGCAGCTAGCGGCCTTCAAAATAACCCAGACAGGATCTTTTACAATTCTTACCTCCGGCATGTCGCACTGCGTGGAATCTATTGATGAACTGACATACATGAGACAACCACCCCCATGCTATTTATCCTGTCACCACGAAAAAGTGTGTAGTTGACTAGGCAAATGCTCAAGTCAGAAATATCTGAGGTGCCTCAGTTGTCATAATGATTGAAGGGGAGCATAAAAACGCGAGCATGGTCAAACTGGACATCTTATTGCAGATTGACCGGCATTTATTGGGCACATGGAAAACGAACGCCCTAACAGTTGAAAGCAACCGCAACTTACTAATGTCGTTAGGAAGCATAGAGTGCTGGCTACAGGTAAATTGTGAGGTTTCGGGTAAATGATTTGTGCTAACAGTAAAAGGGAGTGGTGTGGGACAGTTTAATAAGGAAACGGTAGAGATAGGAATATTAATCGATTCAACATCAACCTAAAGCAGATCGGATGATTGAGAAAGAGAGACTGAGTTACTGAGATAATTCGTACAAAAGGACAGTTTCAGTCGGTTTGCTCTTTGTCATATGGAGAGCTGTGGCTCATTAGTGTAATGAGTTGGATTTTAACCAATATGTTACTTGTTCAAACAGTCCTCCACCTACTGGGGTTTGAGAAGTCAGATTGTTTCAGTAACCCTTACGCATCAGGTGTGACTCATTGCCTACTGCACGAATGGACGCAAGGTTGCTGCGTACATTTCGATATTTCGCTCTCAGTCAGTCAATGCTAGTAAGAGGTATATATTTACTCTATGTTATAAATATATCTGGTCTTCTGAGATCATCAAGTGAAATGTCTGCAACTATTGGAAGATAATACCCGCCAATTCTCTCTTGTCTCGTAGATCTAAAAAAGCGGTATTGGAAAGTTTATTTCCTATGCGGTCTGAAAATGTTTCGCATTCGTTTTGGCAGTTGATATTTAGCTAGTGGTGGCTGTTATTAAAGCTACTAAGGTTAAGGAGGTCAGCTGGTATCAGTTCTCGCACAATGGGTATGGTACATAGCTTAGTATATGGATTTACACATGGTTGCTAAACTTCACCGATTCAGCGAAAGCTATCCAGTTGGGCCTACACAAACCAAAGGGTCTGCTTTAGAGGTTCTGATAATGCGAATTCCTGTTAAAGAGCGAACAGACTGAATGAAGTCACCACTTCTGTGTGAGTTAGTATGTCTTCATAAAGGTGTATGGCTTTGTTAACTGCTGCATAAGTACGGAATGTGATAACAATAGGTTGCTTCGCTGGTAGAGGTCAGCAACACTGTCCTCTATTTCGTGCATTCTACCTTATATCTCCGTGGCATGTTGTAAGCCATAAATGAAACTTAAAAAGCTGTGTGTTACCAGTCTCAAGTAAATGTTTTTGAATGCCGTACCATGTAATATAATTTAAACAGATACTTGTCAAAGAATCAACATCTGTGGGAAAATAGACAGCAGGGGCTGTCAAAAGTGCTTTAAAGAGAATAGTGATCACTTATTATCTTTTATTAACACTTCTGTATTCACTGTTCTCTTTTTCGTTGCCGACGTTCTCCTCCTCATTTTTTTCAAAACTTGTTAACTATCCAATCCTACACATTGGCGCTTCTTACCTTATGAGATAAACATAACAGACTGTAATTGAAAGTTTTCAGAGTTCACTCCTAATGTTAAACCAGTCGACTAACTCAGTCATCAAAATCTTTGGCGTCCTGATACTTTTTAATCTTTTTTTCCATGAAACCTCTAAAAATAAACAATTCCGTAGATTAAATAGATATAATTTCACAATTTTCTATATGTCAGTGTAATTTATTCTCTATATTTAACTAATGTAAACTTTTTATATCGACTCCAAGAATAGGTTTTTTAATCGCTTACAGCTTCCTGCCTTCATTGACATGTGATTTATTAACTATTTGATCATTCTGTAACAAGCATATGTGTTAGATAATATTCATCTGTACCCTTAGATATACATATAAGACCACCCCACCTAATCACGTTAAAGGTTTTCATACTAATGAGTAAGTTATACATCCCTTGATAAGTCTTGTTTTTCAGTATTTTTGGAGAGTAATGGTTAATTGTTTATCTTAGTGATTAGATGAAATAATACCATTCTGGTTTATGTTCGGATAGATAACGAAAAGTCATGTTACAACCGAAAGGTGATTGCATTTTCTGTTCCATTGCTCATGGACTAAGTAATGAACCAATTCGTTCAGAAGTAAATCGAAATTATTATTATTTTTATTCTTGTAAACTTATTGAAGACTAACAATGTGGTGATATTTGCTGATCGTTATCCAAAAGCTAAATATCATTTTCAGTGTGTACCTAAACAGCATATCAGAAATGCTAAACAGTTGAAACATGAAGATGTCCCACTGGGTAGATTGTATTCCTGTTGTTTACCACCTTTTTAATCAATTAAGTTGTAGAAATGGTGAATTGTGGAAAAGCATTTATCACTAGTCAACTTCATTTAAATCCTGACGACTTTTTGTAAGCTGTCGCAGTACATTCAGTAGGATAAATCAATTTAGATTTGGATTTCACTGGCCACCATTCAACAGTGTTCATCACTTACATATGCATATATTGGGACCTAAAAAGTGTATGAATTTCAATCCAATGTTTGATAGTCGGTTTCATATCTTTAAAAAGGTAAGGCAATCACAACTGTGTTTGTCATAATACTCTGATGATAGGTTGAAAAAGTACTCAGTGATTTGCATGCAAACATTCAAGTGGAAGGAGATAGGACTGTTTTGTTTTAAAGGAATTCACTAACCAATAATGATACTAATATTTCGCTTTTCTTTTTCTACTCTACCTTATTATCTCCTGTATTTTGCGTATGAAAACAACGGATATCATGTCTCCTTTAATGTTTTCTTGGTCTTTCATTTATGCAGTTATTTTTACTCGTAATTTACGATTCTAATTAGTAGACTGAAAATATTCTGAGATCTGTATTATTGAAGTAAATATTTTTTTGTACAACAATATTGTTTCCATTTCAACTTGCTATCAGTACATCAGCTCAGAATGCACCTCTTCTGTTATGCGTTGATGGAATGTGTGGAGGTATAAAAGAATATCTATTTTGTGTGCGTATATACTAAGAATTCTCTGATAGTCTTAGGTATATTGTACTCAATAATCAGCATGAAAATTGACCTGCAATACTATCTGTCTACACGTTAATGATGTATGGAGACTGGGAGTTATTTTTTCAAGGTTTCTGTTCATTTTAATAGAAACAAATAAGTATCGGTGAAGCGACTATCCTGTTAGCTACAAAAGATATATACTTCTGACATTGTTAGTGAGAAATAAAGATACTGTTAAAGCTTATCTACTCATTAACCAGTATAAATTGTCTGCATTCATCGATTAATACAATGAAACATCTTGGAGCATATTGTGGATCGATTTTAGAAGCGGAATAGACCACCTGACAGAATGAAAGTGTACAGTAGACGCTTAATTTCCACTGTGATGTGTTTACTATTGCAGCGAATTATCAGAATAATGTGAATAAATTTGTCAAACCTGTATACAAAAGCATGCTGTGCGTATATCCTTATTCAGTATTTTATCTTTGAGGTCAAGTTTTATGTACTGTCTAGCATGAGAAAGTTCGTTTCCGAGTAATTTTATCTAAATGGATAGCTTTGAGCTGTCATTTACTCATCCATTATAGATGATATTTCAGAATAAAATGAAGTTAGTGAGCACCATCATAATTCAAAGTTGTGGTAGATAACTGAAGTTGAAAATCTGCGTCTAGGGGAGAATGCAAGTGGACACTTTAAGGTGGAATATCGTAGAAAGGTTTCACCTCTAGTTAGTTTGTGAAACGGTCCGCACAAACAAGACTAGTATACCAATTCAAGTTGAAAATTACGACCTGTGGATGGTATTATACCTTCTCATGGGAATAAAATATTTGTTCTCTGCGATCATAAATCCTCAAAACACAAGTTTAGAGTTTCACGGTGTAGCTTTTTATACAAGTCGTCAGTATCCTACAGTAGTGTAAGCTATTGACTTACGAGCTTGATTTCTCGGTAATGACTCCCGAGCCCCGACCCTGCTCCACCTAGTTCCAAGTAGTAAGCATCACAGTGTTCTACACAATACGTGTAGCTCACACTGTGCCACACTGAGTTGCATAACAGGTTTTGCACAGTCCTTTTGATGACTCTTGGTTATGACTCATATTCTGAACATCTAGGTATGGAACCACGATGGGCATTAGATTTCAAGTCTTGAATAAATCACTTTTGCTAAGAGAAAATTACCAACGTGATTACTCAATCGACTGACTTATTTTGGGGTAGTAAAACCTACAATGATTAATAACAATTTAAACTGTCCTACAAATAAGGCTATTTAGTATTAACGTGAAACAAGGTTACAAGAAGAGAATATGTGAGGTAGTCCAATACAGTATTTACGTTCTGTGTTCTTCTGCCATGCTTCCTTTGTAGTATCCTTCCTTCTTGAAAGTATCTTTCATAAAGATTAGTGAAAATGATTATTTGGTGTTCTCGAATTTTTACAGCCAAGTTGACGTCATGGCAGATCCAAACATGTCTCAGATCGGTGTATACCTCCTCGGTTTTTCGTTATACGGTCACAATTTCATCAGTCTAATCTCTAACAGCACCAAGATACATAACATTTCAACTACTTGAAGTGGTTCACTACCAAGTATGAGTGGAAATACAAGCTCCCACACTGCACTTTAAGTATACAAAGTACATACCATGCCTACTGAACTGACACTAACCGCCAACTGACTGAGAAGCTGTCATGTTGTCTAACATTGAAATGGTATCGTCTGTATACTTGGGGTTGAGAAGTCTACACCACAACTGAGCACCTCTATCAGACCTGTCTCACGGATGTCATTCATGCATGGTCTGACTCAACAGCTGATTCGGGACAACTTGAAGAGGTGGTTATATGACTTCACTTTACCTGAGGTATTTTGCCTAGGGCTTTCAAAATGTTAACAAACTTCCCAGGGACACTCCACCCTAACAGACAATCACGGAGTAGACCTCTGACCACCGAGTCAAAGCCGGTCATGATACCAAGGAGCACATCGATTGCTGGCTCGCAACACATGTAGTGGTGTTCATGCTCTTAATGGATGTGGAAGCGTGAAGAATTAATCTAGGAAGTGCATAAATTTCAGCTTGTTCCTAGCTAGTAAGTTTTTCATACGTTTTGCACAGCCTGTAAATTATGATAAGGTTCAGTATATTGGACGCTACTGGTAGTATAAAGCTTGTAAAAGAATGGGTTTTGGTGGCTTACAATTGCCTTTGATGTCTTTATTGTTAATATTGTTCCATGGTTTGTATGACGGTCGGGATACTGTTCAAACATCCAGACCAGAGAGTTCGGTTATCTTAGAGGACTGCTCTTCTAATCTTTTACTTGAAGTCTAGTACACACAACAGAGGAGAAACGTTAGATGCTGCATTCTCATGGATTCCGGTGACCAAAGTAGGCGGTCGCACCACTCATCTTTTCTATATCATGAAGCATATGTATATCACTGGTTTGGAATCGTAGTTCATCAACACCCTTAGTTGAATCTTTCGAATAGATACATTCTAAAGGTAGCTGCCGGTTCCTATTTAATTGGTTGAAGATTCAACACCAGCTGATATTTATGACCAGTGAGTGTTTCTGGAGAGATGGGAACTCTCATACCGGTGTTGATGAGCATGAAATCTTAATTGTAGCACACTTCTGCAGACAAGGCGGTCTTCATCCCCACTGATGTCCACTGAAAAGGCAGCTGCCGCACTGTTAATTGTAGGTGAATGCCTATAGATCTTATGTGTAGTGATAACACTGCGAAATATTTGTATCCCGACCAACTGTGGCCCATGGATGTAGTCACTTGACTAGAAGACGGGTTCGGAATCCGCTCCACCTATAGAGATGTGGGCAGACAAGTAGTAGTACTAGTCCTCACACAAGATGTGTGACTTATTGTCTACTACATAGACGTGCATGTGGTTACTGAGTAGATTTCAAATTCTTTTCCTACTAACTACCAACTATTTTTACATAAGAGAAGTTATGACTACGAATGCTCTGTGTATGAAGACTTCTGAACCTATAAAGTTGTTACACCGGGCCTTACCACTCAGTCACTTTGGATTAGGGGCGTACTGATTTCTCAGCAGCAGTACAAGTATGAAAGTACGCGCTCATGTGGTTTCCTATTTACGGTGTGTGCTAGTTCTATCATCACACGACATTTTAAGGCCCCAAATATGTCTCTGTGGATTTCATAAGAAGTCCCTCATGATAAGTCCATTGGGCTGTGCTGCTATTCGTTTGATGTATCATGTTCGGTTTGGTCTCTTACTCGACCTTAACTGAGTGCTGTGTCATATCTTCGGAGATTGGTAGAATTTTGTTCTTAGTTATCCTTTTTTGGAGGTGCACGGTGGTCAGAAAAGCCTCTACTAAACCAGTTCGAAGTTGCATATGCGCTTAACCAAAATTAACAGTAGGTACATCGACAAGTATGGGAAACAGACTGCAAACATAGCAGAGAAATAACCTTTCTACAAAGTGACTTCTGACCTGATGAAATTGCCACAATAATTAAATGAGAACTGAGTGCTACACAGACAAGAACGTATCCTGCAGTTAAACTGCTTTGTCTATGTCAAACAACTTGCCTATTACCATTGTCGACAGGTTCCCATTTCATGTTACCTTCAACTGGCTCCCTCAATTAAATGTTCATGCCAAAGCCCATATATTTGTTAGACAGAGAGAAGGTTTCTTGTTCGGATTTCTGGGCACATCTTTAAAAGTTTGATATTGAAAAGTCCACAAGTAGGAATAATTATCTTCCGACGGAAACAGTGTAGACAGTCTCAAATCATTTAAAGTGATCAATAAATACAAAAGTTGAAACTTACTACGATTTGTTGAAGCCGTTGCCATCAATAGGCTTGAGGTTTATTTTTTTTCAAAAGGAGACCGATGTCAATCTCTCCCTATTCTAGTGACTATAGATGAACATCATGTGTGCAAATTCTAATCACGCTGTTGAATTCCACGTCTAGCTATTTGTTGTTTCCATCCCCTTCTTAATCTCTCCAGATGATGAATGTACTCCTAATCTGACTGACTTTGAAGGCCACCCTAGGAACTGATGAGGTAACTATTTACGTTTCTCTATTTTAAGAAAAAACACTCTCCCAGTCGGAATACGGAAACTTGGTTGGTTATCTCAGCAGTTGTTAGGGCAGTCAGTCCCGAATCTTGCTATGATTAGTTAGCCACCACAACACTCGAACAAGTTTTAGAATTATTTCTGTCATACATTAAGTTTAGTATTGATGAGGCTACAAGCAGCCGAGGGGAATCCATGAGATAAAGATGAGTTCATATTACCCTGCTCCAGTCGCTGTCCTCACTCTATTCAAGTTAACAAACATATGTTCCGAAATCATCGAGTCTTTAACAACCATAACATCAGTGGCACACTTCAAAATTATTATTTGAGGCTTGGATAACGGAATGTGTGGACTAGGTAGGAAGCACATTGGCGCTGGTTGCATCTGAAGTCGTTGCTTATTAAAAATGAATTTTGTTCTGTAAAATACGATCTGCCATGAATTTATCCTCACGGATTACTTAAGCGGCTGTCCTCCAAACCAAAAGGCCCGATCTATGCGCTCAATTCTGTGAGTGGCATTGTGATATCATACCAGCTTATTTGACTAGTAACAGGATTCCTCCATGATTGCACGAGAAGGCTTCACGTGTTTAACCACCACTGCCTTCTTAGCATAGGCCGTGTTTCGTGTTATAGCCATTTGAGTAACGCAGAAGTCAGGAGTGGAGTCCTAGGCAGGTGAGGTAAGACAGTTGATGCGGTTGTGAACCTTCATCGACTGAGACGGCTGGCAGGGACATGCGTTACCTATGCTTAGCCATCGTCTGCCTCGTCACACAATGTTGGCCAAAGTAGGTTCAGTCTGGAAAATGGGTCGGGGCGGTCAGACTAAAACATGGCACCAATGCATGAAGTCCTCGACTGTTCGGTTGAGCTATGTAGGGGGATCCAGACTAAGTGGTAGGGGTCCACATGACAGGAGATCCCAGTGGTTGGAGACTCTAGATGATATGGCTCGGTGGTGTAGATGTATACACACATTATCCCCAACTTGACCACAGTACTTAATCACATCATTTTCTCATTTCCCCCTCCTCTCTTCTACTATTTTCTACTCCTACTCCCTTTCCTTCGTTATCTTTCACTTTACTGCCTTGTTACTTCATGTGCTGATATGAGGTGTGGCAATTAGAACCGTTACACAGTCATGCCTGGTCCTATGTTCATTTTGATGATGATACAACTCTTTGTGCACCTACTAAGTCAGAGACTGATGTTGTATTCACCTGTATGTAGAACTCGTTACAAAAGATTATTTCAAGGCATTATTGAGCGCAGGACAACTACTACGTTGATCTGTTAACATCTTAAGGAGTTACATATCATTAGTGGATATAGCTGGAGCATGAGCAATAAATACATGATCAGAGATCAAAGCTTTGTATTTACCAACTCTCTGTAAAACCCTTCCACTTAAGTATAAATATCACAACAACAACAATAGGAGATATTTCGATAGTGTAGTAATTAGAAGACGAAGTTCATCGTCAAATTACGCTATCAAAATTCATAAAAGTGACTCATAGTTTCAAATAGTAGATATTATTGTTATCTATAATAATAAATAAGCATGAACAAATAACACAGTAGAATTTTCAGCCTACTCAATTCCAATAATCACGGTAAGCAGAAAAACTTCTGTTCCATCAAGAGGACAGTTCACTAACGATTGCGAGTGTTATTCTTGTTAAAATATTCAATGATGATTATGATGATGATAATAATAATAATAATAGTGATGGAAATGATGATAAAATGAATCACAGAGCGTGTTGACAATGGGCAAATAGTGAGAATAGCAAAAGATAAGAAAGAAAAAATAAGTTATAGTAGTCTGCTTTCACTGATGTATACAAAAGTTAGATGGTTTTGTTCAGTCGATATAAAGATCTTCAGTGATTTGATGATACATCTGGTTACGATTATTATTATTATTATTACTGTCGGAAAGGGTAAAAATTCAGATATTGTAACATAATTTATGTGTAATATCTTCTTAAGAAAATTCTTGACTTTTAAAACAGCTAAAAATGAATGTTCTACATAGAAAGCAACAGGGACAATTGAAAATAAAATGTATGAAATATTGGGAGAGAAGAAAATAATTGCCAGAGGAAAATATCCTTGTGCTGACACTGTCTCATGTATACATAGAAAGACTAAATGTGCAAAATAACCTTCAAAAACTTTCCATTTTATCATTTTATTCAGCAGTTCGCCGGAGATTGTGATGAATCTAATCGATGCACTTGTCTCGATCCACTATCTGATCTAACACAACAATCACCAGATGGATTTGCAATCGAAGCGTCAAATCCTGACTCTTGGTCTGCTGTTACAGGCGTGTATTTCATTAGAGTATCTTCTCTTGAAGCAGCACATTTCAATTCTTCCTTCTCAGTATCTCTATTATGAAATGAATGACGTCTATGGCTACTCTAGAAGATAAAAATTAGGAAAAATGCACTTCGCTTTATTATATAAATGTAAAAGGCAGTTGCTTCAGTTAGAAAAAGTATTAGGTGAACATGAGTGTAACATCGAATATGATGCTGTTGCTTGTAACAACCCGTCGTTGACTAGGCCAAATAGATTGGCCATCATTTCTATCAAAACTCAAATTACAGGCAACATCGAAGTATCTGTAAATAAACAAACCTATGTACCGATAGCAGCCGATAAAGTCGATCCAAACAACAGTGGGAAATTACAAGCTTTAACACTAAACAACATCTGTCACACAAGAAGTGGCTATTGTCACTCAATAGTCTAGTGGACAACGATCTGGTGTTCGAAGTGATGGATTTATAGTTCGACTAGGAGCAACAACACTCACTGGGAGACACGTACATTCAGCTGACAAGTTCACAGTTTATCGAAACATACGTCATGGGTTTCACTGTTAGACACTATCCATCATTACTATCAATATCAAATATGATTTACAGTTAAATACTTCAATACTCGACCGATAGCTGGTGCTACCTTGATGTCGTGGTCGCGACTGTATATCGTGATAACCCAACCCAGTGAGGTATCCTGGTGGAATGCTTGTCCCATCGATGTCTTACCATACCACAGAGGTCTGTTAGATAGTGGTTAGACAAAAAGCAGTTAGCCTTAATGTTAACACGCTGTAAAATAAATAGATGACGCATTATGATGGCTCAGAGCAGTCACCACTAGCTACTGATGATCGGAAACCACAGGACAGACATATGTCCAACTGCATCTCCCATATCTGACCTCAAAATCTTAATATAGTATTTGATAGATTAGGTCATTTTGCTTAATTAACTCTACCGGATCTTTTAGCCTACAAGGTTTATAAATTTAAATGCCACCCCAATCCCAGCACTGTTAAGAATTCTACGTAGAATTTCCGATGTACCTTCTTGATATGGCAACACTATACAGAATTTGGATCTCATTTCAGGCATGTTGCAGTTAACACTAATATTATCGCTACCTGTTTGTTAGATGGTAGGAGAAATTGATTAGAGAACCTTTGTGTTCATTGAATCAACACCTAATGAATGTAACATGAATGAAGAACTGTTGGAGTATGTAAAACAAGTTTGAAAATCGTAGCATTACTTTGATATGAATGTATGTGAGCAATAAATTCTGCACGAAATATCATTCAGTAAATAGTAGTGTAACAAATAAATATTCTTATATGTTGCATATATTTATTCCCCTTTATGAACTTGAATTCGAATATGCGTAGTTTTGTCAATAACTTTCGAGAGTAAGATATTTCCCGATAAAATTACACGTCATCATCCAGTGAGTGATTTACATACTTTAGCTGGATGACTGTGTGACAGATTTCTTGGTTTCATCAGATCCTAATGAGGACGTCCGAAGGGGACATCTATAAAGGATAAAAACTCTTTGAATATGATTCAATGAGAGAGGAACAACAGAAACTTACATTTCAACATAAACTCACACCTTACAACTATGTTTTATTGTCATTCCATAGTGCTAAGCTGTTTCGTCTTATACAAACACGATTTCATAGTCTATACAGTAAGAAGTAAAAACTGTACACACAACAGCCAGTTGACAGATACAGTCGTAGGTAGTTTGACACAGTATACAAAGAAGGGGCTTCTTAAGCAATTGATACCAGAGTATTATTTAATGTTTGCCTTATCACAGACCTTATGACGCTTATTACTATAGTCAGAAATATTTTGTTTGATCAGTCATACTAGTAGAACGGGTCAGATATAGTAGCTCTATGCGTTGTGTAGCTGTACGAATAACTGTACGCGATTTCCAAGGGTATACGATATAGACATCAATATGGCACTGTATGTATTGAATCCTAAACAGATTGTGTCTATAATAAATAAATTGAAAGGTGGATAGATCCTACGGTTTCTTCAGGAGCTGTATGAAAAATTGACACTAGTAACAAATAACATGGAAAAACAATACATTTAGACAGTTTCGTCTAAATTCACTGTTGGCTGTGGAACACAAATGCAAAGTGAATAAACAAACAACTCTGTAAACTATTTTTCCAAAATTCACAGGGGTTACCAATCAATTCCACAACTAATGCCTCGAGATAATTTCAAAAAACATCCCTACTCTGCCTATCATGACTACGATTATCGGTGTATATCAAGTACAACGGTTGAAGGTCTGATGTATGGTTACATTATCTCTTGGAAGTACGATATACTCTTTGAGAGTTAGTTTTGCCAACATGTCACAATATATGCGTAGTACAATCACAGTTATCACTCTAAGCACTGACTAACTCATTGACAAAATCAACACAGAACCTGACACACAAGTGCACAAGTTCATGCTGTCACGTTTTAGATTAGTATGCAAAAGACAGGTGGATAGAGAAAGGGTGATAACAAAGTGGACAAAGTTGACTTAGAGAATAAACAGTTAACGGTTAGTGAAAATATTCAAGCCGTAGAAGATATCAAGGAATGAATACATCTGCGTCATAGTCATCAAAAGTCCTCGACAACTGATTCCTAGCATTTCGGGGACCCCAACTAGATAGTCCACATCTCCCCACATGGTTCAAACCAACAGGTGCCACGTATTGGTTTGGCCAACTTGAACCCTCTTCCAAGTTAACCCACCTTCCCTTGGTATCTCACACTGAGGTGGGTGGTACATTGCCATGCTCAACACATGTCCAACCCATATCAGTTGACTAAGATTCACAACCTACCTAATTAATCGAATTGCCTTGTATACTTTGCCTAATCACAACACTGTTCACATGATGATTACAAAAAACGCGAGCAATGCTTCGAAGACAACTCATCAAAACCACGTAATCGCTTCATGTCTTCTATTTTTTAACGGTATAACTGATTACACATCTATACTCTCATTTCAAAGCGATTTGCGTAATGTGATTACTGAACCTGTTAACTACATACATCTAAGGTAAAATGGGAAATTTCAAAAGAATGTCCTAGGAGGCAACAGTGAAAATGAATTGGCTAACATCAGATGAATTTCCACCTACCAAGTAAAAAACATCAGATTTTACATCACAATTCGAAAAACCTACAGTGGAACGTTTTCGTTTCCTGTGAGTACACTCTTCAATTGCACTTTTCGGTAGAATATCAACAGCACAGGATGGTGCAAATGCAGGATTAATTGATTGAACATGATTACCAGGTACACCATTATGCATAACTGAAGTGTACTCAACATCTTCACTGTCTGTTGAAAGTCCTGAATTATAACGCTTTCTGGGGGCTTGTGACTGTGCTATTTGTGCGCTAACATCACCTTCGTTGAAAAGTTCTCTTGGTAATGCTTGAACACTGGCAGAGCGAATGATAGGCGGCCAAACTCCGGCTAGACGATCAATTTCATCACGAATACGTTCATAATCTTTGCGTGCAACATGTCTGTTGAACGTATTTTAAACAAAATAAGTGCATTAAGGGGAACCTTATCAAAAAGTAAGATTATTATGAACTACTACACAATGATGCTGTTGTGGGATCTTTGTCCCACTGAATTGTAAGGCACATATGATATTACAACATCTGTTAACAATAGTATATAGATACATATATATCAGGGAACATTCATCACGGAGTGACATAACTCGAAGAACCACTAAAACCCAGGGAACCCTAGACAGCCGTTGTGTCCTAATGCAGGACATCTCAGCAGTAGGCACCTACGACCCAGCCAGAGATCGAACTCAGAACCTCCACGGAGGAAGCGTTAGCCATACAGCCACTCGGTCGGAGTTCAGTCGTCAACAGTTTCCTACTTCTATCAATTCGCGACTATCACCCGAGGTCTTCAGTTCGCATCCACTTCCCTTCCGACTAGTTGACCTCACACGTCATGGCTTCTCATTAGAGCTTCAGGATTTCCATCTCGAAGCATTTTACTCATGAGCACTGTACAGTAATGCATTTTGAAGTCAACGGAGATTTTAGTTTTGAGGTAGTATTCACTATGGATGGAGATCAACAGGAGAACCATTTGGAAACATGGACAGCTGCCTCGTCCCAATACGAAACTCATCACCAGTACGTGCCTACTGCTCTCAGACTTCCCAATGGTTGTTCAAATGATGGCAGTCCGTGATCAATGCTACCTTAAAAGTGAAATCCTCACTAACCCAGAAATAGATATATATATGTCGGTAGTTTTACCAACTAAGATCCCAGCTTGATTGCAAATTTAGACAAACGATGGGATTTTCAGAGCCAATACTGGACATTCTCAATAACGATTGGTTTATTGATACTATCAAGAAATTAAAGTTACAGGAATCCTACATAGACAGCCATCGCTAATACTGATCTGATCTTATCACAACAATTTAACACTCGGAATAGTTTGTTGTCTACGATTTTAACATTTTACTAGCTTGAAAATTATCCTCCAAATTTGATCTTTATAATAAACCATGGTGTTGATGAATTCCAACTGAATTACTAATCAATAAGCATCTGTTTATACATAACGTAACATAATTATAGATTGTATTATTGAGGTAAGAGAGTAGATGAAATGTAAAAACATGTGAGTCTCTTAATCACGTGAAAAAACCATGCGCACAACTCTGTCAACGATTTAAAACTTAGATGTCAAATTAGCACTTTAAGTAATAGACTTCTCCTATTTAAACTACTTGATTACATGAAACTCATATTTAAGAATTTTCAACTTTTACAAGCACAATACTCAACCTGATCGACTCACTTGCCTTCTTTACCTAGTACCCTTCTCTCAACCTTGACATTGCTTAAATAATGATTCCACCACACGTGGGAAACGCTGTGAAGATACCGTGACAAAGAACCTATAATCTCTTCACATCATTTTTTTCAGCGGCCATCTCACACACATAATATAGAAGAGATCAAAATCCAGAGTCGCACACCCACCCCTTAATAGGCAGTCAGATATAGTGCCGGTTACATAGATGATGTAATGTTGATAAACACAACAGCAGCCTTTAGCATAAAGGCATAAATTTCATCAACAACCCACCCAAAAAGATAAAGTGGTGAACGCTGTCCACCCAGGATTTTAGTTATAAAGACCAGTTCATGAGAATATGTATTCACACAACATATCCTGATTTACACTGTTGAAAACACTTCAGAGTGGGTGGATCAGTCGTGAAGGATTTCAGGAAATCCCGGTCTCTCCAGAGGACTTGGAATTTATAATACACTAACACTGTGGCATATATTTTTCAAGGACATCAATATAGCAGGTTTCACATTACAATAGATGACCTTGTTTTCAATGCTAGTTATCAGCAGAAGAACAAGCCAATTTTAACCACAACCTACAAACGCCTTGTCACTCTTTGCTTATTTGCTTATGATTGAAGTGAAATAAAAACCTGAGCAGCAGCAGCAGTTAGGTCTCGTAGCTCAGCACTAGACCAGAAACCTGGTGGTCGCTGGTTTGAATCCTCCAACAACCCAGATTTCCATTTCACCTTCAATCATCACTCCCAATCTTTCTTCAATTTTCATACAATACATTCTTCTCCTCGATGCTTCCTCTGCACTATTGCAAAATATGACCAACGTGTGCATCTAACTATGACACTGACTGACGCGGGTTCGAATCTCGCGAGAGACATCACTCCCCATGAGGTTGCAGATATGATTTGCTTACGAATCTCCAGAAAGCACAAAAACTATGTGAAGCAGGGATACCTGCCAATCGCCTCCAACCGACTCACATGAACTAGGATCGTTTTCTACATCATACTGCATGCACTTCTATCTGTTCAACGAACATAATCTTTCAACATAATGGCAAAAGTTTAATTACAAATCATTAATAGCTGGTGATGTATTCGAGCTAATGAAATGTATGCATCAAACCATCATGACGTTTTGTAATCATCATCTATTAAAACTAAAAAAAATGATTCAAGAGAATTGAAGTATTGCACTTTATGCTTCAAAATAGGTAGCGAGTAATTATTTACAGTTAAGAAAATACCTCGGGAATAATGCTCGCCGAATATGACGTATACGTTGACGAAACGAGACACCATCCACAATCGATTCCAAGATACATCCGAACAAGAGATTCCCAAGGGCTATTCCATGCAGGATGAGTAGGAAAAGAACAGATGGAAGTCGACAGAGCTAAACAACAACAACAACAACAAGGCACAGAAAAACAACACTGGTTAAGGTCATCAAATCAATAGGCAGAAAAAAAGTTAGATACACATACATACTACTGCCATCAAATGTATATAGATCCAAATATAAGGAATTTATCCATACAGTATACACGATATTGTTATAACAGGAACACCTTGTTAATTTCACTTGACATATGCCTCGACCTATCTTGTGTAAAGATGCATTCGAGTGGCTCAATTTATTTTAGTTGAGATAAACACAAGAAAATTTCATCATTTAGTGATTGAATAGATTCATTCTAAGTAACACACAACTGATACACCACGTCTTGATGTGTTGAATAACATTTAAACAGTAACTGAAATCAGGTAGCCTAATGCTCAACTGAGAAACAACTTCTGCTTACAAAACATGCTCAACACAGTCTAATTTAGACAATTCTTCACTTTCACAAACTTGAATAAACCAGGAAGAACAATAGAAGCAGGATTATTCTGCATGTTTTTCGTCGATTCTCCTCAGCTGCTTTACAACCTAGAGAAGATTACGTTTATTTGTGATAAACAATATGTCATACCTTAATAAATCGGCAAGAATTTTTCGAATATAAATGGAAGAGACAAAGATTCAGGTTGACCGATTCTGATGAAGTTAAGACTACTCAAAGGTTAACTATTTATACAGTGATAGAATTAATATTGTACAGAAGACAGTAAAAAAACGACATAAATGGCATGAAAATGACGTCATGGTTAAGTAAGCGTAATAAAAGGTCTACAGGTTTTCCTTACATTGAGTAATACGATAAATTATTATTATTATTATTATTAGTCCCTTGGGTTCCTAGTGGAACATAGGGCTTCAGTAGCACGCCTCCAGTGACCTCTGTTCTCTGAGATCTTTTGAACCTGGTTCCACGACAGCCCAGAAGCTCTCATTTCCTCCTCGCACGACCTCCTCCATGTCACCCTCGGACGTCCAACTCGTCGCTTCCCATGGGGATTCCACTCGAGGGCCTGACGCGTGATGTCCTCAGTCGGCCTTCTCAGTGCATGGCCAATCCATCTCCACTTCTTCCTGCATATTTGTTGCGTGATAGGTTCTTGGTTGGTTCGTTCCCAGAGTTCCTTGTTGCTTATTTTTTCTGGCCATCTGATCTTCAGCAGCGAGCGTAAGCAGTTGTTGATGAATGTCTGTAGTTTATTGGAAATGCCTTTCGTGACGCGCCAAGTCTCTGAGCCATACAAGAGCACTGACTTGACGTTGGTGTTGAAAATCCGTATCTTGTTCCACATGCTGAGTGCAGAAGATCTCCACACTGGTTTCAGGCTAATGAACGCCTGTCTTGCTTTTCCGATTCTGACTTTGACGTCCTCGTCCGTCCCGCCTGTAGTTGAAACAGTGCTTCCTAGATAAGTGAAGGAGGTTACTTCCTTCAAGTTTCTCCCGTTGACGGTGATTGGAGTTTGTTGTTGTTGATGGTGGTGGTGCGGTATCTTCATCACTTCTGTCTTCTCTATATTCACCTGAAGTCCCGTCTTGGCTGCCTCTTCTGTCAACTTGTTAGTTTTTGCCTGCAGATCTTCAAGTTTATGTGACATTAGGCATAAGTCATCGGCGAAATCCAAGTCTTCTAGGTTCTTTTCCGTCGTCCAGTGTATCCCCCTCTTCTCGCTGCCTACTGTTTGCTGCATGATCCAGTCCACCACAATAAGGAATATCATGGGGGATAGTAGGCAACCTTGTTTCACTCCTGTCTTCACTTCAAAGGCATCACTGAGCTTCCCATTGTGGATTACTTGGCATGTGGCATCTTCATATAGTTGTTGAATGAGGCGGATAAAGGTTTGCGGTACTCCGTAGTATTGAAGCAGTTTCCAAATTACTTCTCGGTCGACGCTGTCAAAGGCCTTCTCAAAGTCGATGAAGTTGAGGTGGAGAGGTGATTGCCATTCTACGCTCTGTTCTATGATGATACGAAGCGTTGCAATTTGGTCTGCACATGATTTGTACTTCCTGAAGCCTGCCTGTTCCGGTCGCAGTTTTGAATCCAGTGCGTCTTTAAGCCTCTCCAGGATGATGCGGCTTAATATTTTACTTGGGGTGGACAGGAGAGTGATTCCGCGCCAGTTCTTGCAAGCACTGAGGTCTCCCTTCTTCGGCAGTTTGACAAGGTAACCCTTCTTCCAATCGTCAGGTACCTTCTCTTCCCTCCACACCTTCTGCAATAGTGGTGTGAGCATGTCCGCTGTTGTCTCTGCATCTGTTCTCAGTGCTTCTGGCGGTATTCCATCTGGTCCTGCTGCTTTCCCGCATTTCAGTAGCTTTATGGCGTTCAGGACTTCCATTTTCGTTGGGGGATTTATGTTCACTTGTAATTCAGCGGCTGCAGGTGGTATTTCTGGACGAAGTGCAGGTGGTGGTCGATTCAAGAGCTTCTTGAAGTGGTCGGCCCATCGTTTCCTCTGTTTCTCTTCTTTTGTAATTAAATTTCCTTCTTCATCTTTTATTGGTTTCATCTGTGTTGGTCTCTTCCCTGATAGCAACCTGGTTATTTGATACAATGTCGTCAGGTCTCTCTTACCTGCAGCCTGTTCTGCTTCACTTGCCAGTGTGTCGTAGAAGTGTCTTTTGTCTTTGCGTGCACTCTTCTTCACTTCTTTGTCCAGTGTTTTATACATTGTGCTCAGTTCCTCTTGTCGTTGAGCATCCTTGCACTGGTTTATCTTCTGCTTCACCATCCTCCTCTCCTCTATCAGCTTCCAGGTATCCGTCGAGATCCATTCCTTGTCTTCTTTCTTCTTCCTTCCTAATACTGCTGTGCAGGTTTCTTTCCACATAGCTTTCAAAGACTTCCAGTGTTCTTCCACACAGGTTTCTTCAGGGATGTTGCTCGATGTCTCCCATTTTGTCTTGATGGCTGCCTTGAAGATCTCCTTTGTAGTTTCATCCTTCAGTTTCCGAGTGTTGTACTTGAATTGAGGTCTATCACCAGCTTCCTTGAAGGCTTTTAACTTGATTTGGAAGGTTCCTTGCACTAGATAGTGGTCTGAACCTACATCTGCTCCTCTTCTTGACCTTGTGTTAAGTAGACTGCGTCTCCATTTTCTTGAGATTGAGATAAAGTCGATTTGATTTTTAGTGTGTCCATCTGGTGAAGTCCATGTCGCTTTGTGGATATCCTTGTGCCTGAACACACTGCCTCCAATCACCAAATCGTTGAATGCACAGAATTCTGCAAACAATTCTCCATTCTCATTCATTTCACCTAGCGCCTCTCGACCCATGGTTAGTTCTCTTCCCGTGTTGTCCCCTCCCAGTTTGGCATTCATGTCGCCCATCAGAATTTTGATATCGCCAACTGACGTCTTGTCCAGTGTTGATTGAAGTTGTCTGTAGAATTCCTCCTTTTTCTCTTGCTCTGCATTATTTGTAGGTGCATAACATTGTATGATTGTGACCTTTCTTCCTTTTGAGTTGAATCTTGCTGTCATGATCCTGGAGGAGATTGGTTCCCACTGCATGAGAGCCTTCGATGCTCTTGAGGACATCATGATAGCCACTCCCTCAGTGTGCTCGTGGTTGGCGTCTGGGTGACCGGAGTAGATTATTGATTCTCCAGTTGACAGTTTGGAGAGTCCACTCCCATTCCATCTGCTTTCGCAAATCCCAAGCACTTCGATGTTATACCTTCTCATCTCCTTTGCAATCTGGGCTGCCTTACTGGGTTCAAACATCGTGCGGACATTCCATGTCCCCACGTTTACTTTCGCTTTCATCGAGAGAAGACACATCGGCCAATTGGCTTCCCGAAGGCTTTCACCAACTGGCGTCATTTCGCCTCTCCGATTCCAGCGGGGAATAAGTTTGTTTTCATTTTTTATATTTTGTTTGTGCTTTGAAGTTTCTTTAGCGGTTAGATTTGTTTTACGGGGTAGGGTTGCTAGCCCTATGCCCAACCTTCCCTCTTTACCCGGGCTTAGGACCGGCTAGTAACTAGTAAACTAGTTAACCAGGCGATACGATAAATACAACTCGAAAAGTGAGAGTAGGTTTAAAATGCATCGAAAGATAAAGTGAAAAACTAAGGGTCATGACATCATGAAATCTTGTACAATTACAACTGCTTCAGCGAACCACAAAAAAATGGGTGTCAGTTGTTGTTTATTGACCACTTTGAATGACTTGAATTCGTCGACTTTATGTCTAGTATCAAGTCAATCCCGGGCGATTGCACTATTTAAACCCTGTCGACCCTTATAACTCAAATTCCTTGGTATATGTTCAGAGATGTGGACAAGAACCCTTCTCTCTCTTCTTCCGATTTATGTGTTCGATACGTACATGTGAATTGGTAGATAAAGTTGGATGTAACAAGAGTTAGGAACTTGTTTACTTTTGACCGTATTAGAGCACACTTTACGCGTGTAGTTAAAAAAGCGTTTTCACCAGACATTTCTTGTAACTTATTGGATATAAGGTGTTGAAAATTGAATAGACTTCAGTTCACGTGTCTTTCCAATGAATACATCTATGAATCTTTCCACTGGTATGACGTTGTAGGTCGAAGTCTAGGAAATGAAATTTGTTGTTATGTTCAGTTTTCATGTTGAATGCTACATTGAGGTAGGCTGCACTGGAATCTAATCTACACAAATTTCGGATTCTTATTAACGTCAACAGTATTCATCAATTCACATGTACATGCAGAAGTAGGTATATAGGAAGAACAGAGAGACGGTTATCTACAAGAATTGCGAAGAACATGCCAAAGAGTCATTCTCATTCAACAGTGGTCCAATAGCTTATAACTTATGCAAAACAGAAACACCAAGTGGACGCAGAGAAGTTCTTAACGGTAGTTAACAAATAAAAGGTTTGGCACTCATAATTTGAATTACTGAACTCGTCATCAACTGATGAATTCAAGTGAAGTGTGGGTTGAGGAGATAGTCATCAACTTATTATTGTACTATCATGCCACAGTGGTATTGGCGTTTCAAGCAATGGGCACCGGGATCATTCACACAGCTGAAAAGTAGGACGAGACGCGCATGCTTAGCTCCTCTTCTAGCAAAAACGAAGTAAATTATTATAATAAACATCCAGGGAACATCGTGATATTCAAACTAGGAGCGGACAACATAGGAACAGAACCAATCATGAATCGAGAAGTACTCGGTGAAATAAACGAGAATGGAGAATTGTTTGCAGACTTGTGTATACTAAACGATTTGGTGATTGGAGGCAGTGTGTTCAAGCACAAGGATATCCACAAAGCGAGCGACATGGATTTTACTAGACACCAGGCAATACTAAAAATCAGATAGACTTCATCTCAATCTCAAGAAAGTGGAGGCGCAGCCTACTTGCCACAAGATCAGGTGTAGGTCCACACCACTCGCCATCTAGTGCAAGAAACCTACCTTCAAAATCAAGTTGAAAGACTTGAAAGAAGCTGGTCATAGACAACCACAGTTCAAGTTTAACACCCAGAACAGAAGGTGAAGGACAAAACTATATAGGACATCTTCACGTAAGTCATTAGGACTAAATGGGAGATATTGAGCAACATCTCTGAAGAAACCTGCGTGGAAGAACTCTGGTAATCTGGATTCACTTTAAAGACGACCGTCCATGCATTACTGTCAACATAGAGATAAACACCTTGAATAACCTTTTTCTTCAAAGGCTATATGAGTAAAATACACTGACTTGATAAGTAGTTCTCTGCGTTTTATAATGTAATAGAGATAAGTTATCTGATAAAATAAAATCATCACTATATATCTTACCTCAAATAGCTTACGAACTACGCGAGGTGGATGGGATGTGAGATACAATGAGGCGGCAACGCATGCAATGACGTTGATAATAAATAAACCTGTAGACATCAGGAGGAGGAGGGAAGAAATTAAGAATTGATGGTTGGACAAGATATAAAACTTTTATTTAGAATGTAGCAAATTAGTGTCTACATAAAATCAGCTTCCAATGTCAAAATAACGATCCACTCTCCATAGATAGATAGATAGAGAGGTTGACGGTCTTAAAAAACTGAGAATAACAATAATCAACTGAACAGTTAGTAGTATCTTGCATAAAACTAATACGGATTAAAAGAACAATATATACGGAGTGTTGAATTCCAGTATCTTCTCATTCCTCCTTGCTCTTTTCTAAAGACTTTTTAGCACTATTCACTGCTTTCTTTCTTATTCTTTTGACGAAATATACCCATTAATTCATTGACAAGAACTAGACATGTATCAGTGAAGAAATATTTCTTTTCAACAACTTCATTATCATTATCCGAAAACGTGTTGCTGAACACTATCCCGTTTGCCTTACCAGAGGCGAACAAAGGAAAACAACTTCATCCATATGTGAACACTCACTCAACACCTCGAGATTTATCCTTTAAAATAATTTACAAAGTTAAATTGAACTACGCCAAAAGGTTCACCTTTCCACCACTTATGCATAGCTGAAGCATTACCAGCCATACATGAACAAAAACCGAAACTTTGCATTGAAAAAAAGTTTTGTGAAACCACTTTCTCTACCTTGGCCTTAACAATTCATTTTGTTGATTTTGTCAATTTCACTTCACTTTGGTATACTTCTCTTCTATTATCATCATTATATATAGAATATAGAATGACAGATCAGAATAACATCAATGATCTAGAAATATACTCGGCTATTGCAATCCATGGATTGACATACAACCACACAATATGGTGGAATAAAACCAGTGTAATTAAGTTCAATCTAATTAGGTTGTGGGAGACTGATCACTGAATCTTTGTTCATCGAATCTACAGCCAACATATGTAACAGAAATGGTGCAACACTTATACGAGAGATATGGAGAATGTTACTACCAATAAAAACAACTCATATAAAGTGACATGACTATAAAAATCAGATGTCAAAAGTGATATGTGATTACACATTGATATGATTATGAGCAGTAGTAATTTATGCTCGAAACGTCATCAAGTTAATAATATTGAATCACTGTATGGAATATATCATATCAACAAATCCAATATACAACTCCTCATCTAAGACAAAACAAACTTGAAAAGTAATCCCATCAAGTCAATAACATGATTTTTTTTAAATAAATCATAAAGCTAAAATCTTGAATATTAGAAATCTTACGGTTAGAAAAAATTGACCGACGATATGGTGCTCCTTTAGAGAAAACAATTGCCAATATCACATATTGATAGACGGATACAGTGAATATAGTTGTACTTTCGTAGTTCTTCAACTCATAGTCTTCATGATATGTGATAAGAGGTAAATACCTTGAAAACAGTAGTAGTAGTAGTAGTAGTAGTAATGATAATAATAATAATAGTAACAGTTGAAAATTAATTACACCTTGTTAATGATTGAGATTTCATACAGTAAAATTAAATATAACAAGACGAATGTGTAGATTATATATGGATTTCATTCTTACTACCGTCAGTAAAACAGCCATACTTCAGGTGCTCAAATGCAACAGTAGAAGTTAAGTGAATTCATGTTTTTAGTTGAGCATCGACTGTTTTGGATGAGTACATTGACCTCAAGCTGCAAAAGTTTGAGCATCAACATCAGTGTCAACTAGATTTTAGGCACAGTTGGCTAAGACGATTAGTGTACAGCATTTCAGCTACTTTCCTCTCTTTATACACATGCGTCACGATTGTCATCTCAGCAGTTCTCCACAACCATTTGCTTGCAATAGCAACACTTGGAAGAAGTGATCAATGTATCAAGTGGCACAGTGGGATGAAAGATAGTGGTGCTGGATTAGTATCTCTATTGATACCTCACAATTCCTTACATGGATTTAAGGAGACAACGCAACTTAGTAACGCGAGACAATAGCAGACATGGCTGAGAGTCAAAAACCGTTAACGGACATCAAAACTCTGTGGTTCAAATCTAACAATACAATGGACAGATAAGTCTTTAATGATAAATGTTTATAAGATATCAATGTTTCCATGGTTAGAAGTTAAATTTTCACATAAACATGAAAACATACACCAAATAGTCTGATAACATGAAATGCATTTAACGAGTTAATTAAAAACCTAAGAAATATATAACTATGAAAAACTAACCATGGTTGCATTCGAACGAAATGAAAACAGCGAATTGGACAACAGCACAGGTGAACAACTGTAAACCCAAAGATAATAAAGTCACAGCGGACACCAGTCGCATTCCAGGGGGTTCAACGGAAAGACGAGGATAAGCAGGAGTATAGCCGACTATAACAAAAAATATTTCCAGGAAATGAAAATTATGTATGTTAATAAGTCTATGGAATTATGAGAGCCGAAAAACAAGTATACAACATAACTCACTCCAATTCCCAAGTTATACAACTTTATTTACAAATAAAACATTCACTTTAGAATACAAAATAAAGAGAATGTATGTACAAAAAGAGTGACGCCGACTTCAAGGGTTGTTTTCCTTCTTCAACAATAGAATCTACATTACACTATATTCAGCAACTTAACTGTTTCCATTATTTAACATTTCGTGTACCATTCTACCCTATCATCATTCACATTCTTCTGCGATAGTCTCATCAGTGTCTCACATTATTCCTTCCTTTGATGCTTTTGAACATTAGTAATAAGTCACATCTGTCACTGACTGGGTTGAGCCAATTGGCCCAAAAACTATCTACTTATTAAGCAGAAATACTATGTGTAACTTCAATAATCTCAACTTGTTCATTCCCTTCACTTGGTGACAGAAATACTCTGCAAGTAGCGAATCATCTCACACAGAATTCCTCAAACTGTGAACTTCTTAAAATACTCCCGGAATATATATTACTGCATTATCCACACTTCACAATTGGTCATTATTACTTTCTAGAAAGGTCCACTGTTCAGTTATTTATGAACTTTCTCCTGGCGGGAACTGTAAACGCCTCATCATTAGGCATAATCAGGTATGTTGAACGATTCTTTATACTCTGAGTAAACCACTAGTCATCCATATCAATTTCATAGGTGTTGTATTGCTGCACAAATCTCAAACAACTGGATGAATGTACCATCAGTTAGCTTCATGAAGTGTAAGCCGGAGTAGTAATTCAGGTGTCGCTCAGCTATAGGAGAACATTCCTTATACAAAAACTTTTGAAAGAAACAGTTTGTTTAGTCCAACACTGGAATATCTACATTACTAAAATGCTTTAAAATTGGAGGATGAGAAATACCAATAACAAGTTATGTCTCAAAATATACTGACTAATCATGAATTGCTGCACCCATTTCATTCTAACTCGTGTATTACTTATTCACTAATACATCCATAACTAGCATGAAAAGAAGTTTAGTTCAGTGAGATGGTACTTTTTTCAGCAAATCGATTATCACATCATTTCCATTCAAGAGAATTACAAGTGGTTCAGCAGTAAACTTGTCATTCAGGGTCAGTGCCAAAATAAAGGATAAGCATCATTCATTGGAAGCAGAGAAAATTTTGTTACGTTGCACAATTAAGGTCAAGTGATATCAACCAAATCAGCATGATGGTACCAATAATAGAATTGGTGAAGTGGAATATAACGAATTTCCAGTAGAACTATTAGACTGGAGTAAAAAAGAGCTGTTTGCTGAGAAGCTTAGGTCTCTCATGGTATAACCACTCAAGTTTCAGCCATATGCATGTTTTTAAAAGCTTAAGTCTTGTGAATTAATCTTCAAGTGCTTAAGAAGTAGTCTCAAAAGACAAACATCAGTCTGACAGTATTTCAACTGTGCTATAATAAACCACAATGAAACTTTTTATGTGCTTATGTGCTGCCCCTTAGGAGAAATTAAACTATTCCCATCACTAACGCAGACAGACAAAATCAACACAGAACATCGCACACAAGTGCACCAGCTCAAGTCGACACATTCTGCAGTGCTATACAAAGCGAAAGTGGATAGAAAAAGTGATATTAAAGCACACTGAATTGTGTGCAAGAATAAACAATCTGGAGATAAAGGTTAGTGTAAATATTCAAGCTGTAGAAGACGACGAGGAAGGAATACATCTACACCACTGTCATGGATTTTCAGCCACGTCACCAAGAATCCTCATCCTCCGATTCCGACCATCTCGGAGACTTCACAGACAGGCAGTCTACATCTCCCCAAACGGCTCAGACCAACAGTGTGAGGCTTCATCGAATGGCCCCACGTCTTGGGTTGGCCACTCTGATCCCTTCCCATCCTAATCTAACTTCCTCTAGCATAGCATGTCAAGGTAGGCAGTGGTTCGGCATGCATAGTATATGTCCAAACTATTTCAGTCGATGAACGTCAACAACCTCCTCAATACATTTGCCTGTCTTGTTTAGTACCCTTCACCTGACCACAACACTGCTCACATGGTGATTCCAACAAACGCGAGTAATCTTACGAAGACATCGGTGGTCAAAACCTACTAATCGCTTCATGTCTTCTACTGTTAACGACCACGTCTCACAGCTGTATAACAACGCACGATGAACTGCAACATACTACACTCGTCTTTTGATAGATAGTCGGATAGAAATCTATCTGTTGATCCACTACAAAGTTTCAGTGCATATAACGCATACTTATTAAAGTGGACGGCTCCGATCGACTGAAACTAAACAATACACGAAATTATTGAGAGCTAGTTGTCATTCTTTGATGCCTTTCGTCTCATACTAGTGTCTTGTCGATGCGGTAACCTAATAAACAAAACAGCTTTCCCCTTGATATGGAACGTTCACTAGGTGAGCGACCTATCTTGGGAGGCCATGGACGAAAACGACAGCAGTTTTAATGAGCAAAACGGTTACTAGTCAAAAGCATACAGCTACTACAAACCATTGTGTTCATATTAATTGAGTGTATGCCTTTTGCATACACTATAACCAATCATCTCAAGGAATAAAACTAGTCAGCAATTTTTAATAAAGTCTGTGCAAAAAGACTGTGACATTTTCTGTTGTTGTTGAAATACTTTTCTTAAGTTATTCAGTGATTAGCATAGAAAGGCCACAACAACAAAATGAGTTAGAAGCATCAGATCAGTGGAGTATTGGCAGAACAATCATCTGATAGATTCATTCTTATCGGATGTTCCTGAAACCCTTCTTGTTTCACATACCTAAATACGCTTTTATTCAACATCCATAAAGATTATGCAACAAGTGGTCAGAAAAAAAATAGAAACACACACACACATACACATGTAGGAGAAAAAACATTAAATTTTCTGAAATAAATTAACTTATTAGTGAACACTAATACAAAAACTATCTCCTAATATTTCATCATCACCCAATGCTTTGACAATTACAACAATGAATTGGACACATCAATGGCAACTTCAATGTCAATGTAGAAATAATCATTAAAAAAAAATACCATCGTAAACCTCGTGAGCTATCATATGGCCAATTAACATTTATTTTTAAAGAAAAAAAAAAGAATATGACTCTGAGTCTTTACAAAACAACACAACATTGAGGTTTCAGGCATTTATGTCTACTGAAAAACAGCATGATTGAAAGTGAAATCATGAAAATTAGAAAGAGAATGAAATAAAAACAAACAAAGTTTATTTTATGAAATACTCAGCACAAATCGACTGACAAAAGACTGTACTACTAGTAGTAATTGAGTGATTGCTTTACATATATCACTTGATTGCTCAAATGTACAACAGTTCATTGACTATTCCACGAAACTGACTCTAACGAGATCAAACATTAACGATTACACAACATAAATATGTGCTCGTTGTGTTTCACAAAAAATGTAAGGAAATACCTCAGAATCCCTAATGAAAAAAGTACACTTTAGGCATCAACTACCACAGAAAAGCACACTGACTGGAACAGAAAGTATGTGATCAACTCAAAAAATTCAAAAGGACCTACACACATGAGAATATGGTGACAAAATGATGAGTTGTTGTATAAATAATCGATCATACGTAATACAACTATATAACAGGCTACAAACACGTTAACAATGTTCCATCCAAATTACCAAACTCAGTTATTACAACTAGCAACACACCATTTACACGCATATTAACCCATGACAGAAGTTTAAAACTAAGCATAATGCAAAAAATCGGAATTACAAATCATGAAATCGTCATTATGATAGCAACATTAGTGTAACAAAATCAGTTTACATAGACAGGCTAATTCATAGAAACAGACTATTACAGAGAAGTTCAGCAGTTCACCTTACCACTGTTATTAAAAGCACCCAAAACAAATCAGTTACAAGGACAACGTTGGATAAAAGGGTAGTAGAGAACAACCAAATGAAAATCAATATATGTTTCCCAAAGTTTAAAAATGATAAAGTGGATGAATCAGTTCCCAATACATCAGTAGGATCACTTCCGTGACGATATCTTCTCTGAAACGGATCATTTAACCGGGAAGCTTTCATTGTCATTCTAGACACCATCATGGCACAGACTTCACAAGGAAGTAGGCCACGACATTTTCTCCACAAATGACCTGATAGCTTATCCTCATAAACTTGGATGTCATTGGTTGTTCCCACTAAATTCTTGTCACTGTCTCCAGACGTTTTTCGACCACCTGTTCTTCTGACATACAATTCAACCGTCTTGTTGTTTCTCGTTCCTCTTAATGCTTGACAGATTGGTCCAATGCGAACACATTCATTGATCCATTTTGATTGATTTATTACTTGTATCACACGGTGGATTACGTTTCCAGCACAATTTATGGTTCATAGTCACATCAAGATAGCTACACAACTTTGAGACACCGTTTATATAGTTCCATTTGTCTTACCTTCCTTGTGATATAGATAGTAGAATTCTCCAACACATAGTCTGGATATATGGAAAATCCTACTAACTATATCACAAAGGCCAGACAATTAGAACGATATAAATCATGTCTCAAAGTTGTCGACCTATCATCATATGACTATGGACAATGATTTGTGCTCGAAACGTAATCCAGCAAGCAATGCTGATCCACTCTGTAATACATCTAATAAACCGATTAAAATAGAATTACATTCTACCAAAATGACCAAGTTTTACCCTCACATCTGTTCATCATCATTAACTAGCCTGAATGCCAAGCTTCTGAAAATTCGTCAAAATGTTTTGTATTTCCTCAATCCAAGATTTTTTCCATTTTCATAGACAAATTCATGTGCAAAACTCTCTATATACAGTTACATAATCGAAGAAACAATGTAACGCTTCACTGCTAGATGGACAATAAGAAGGCAACCACACTGTCCAATCAAGTGTTTTTCACAGTTTCTCCAGTTCACTTTGTAGATAACGTTCGTATTCACTCCTTTTCCTTCTGTGTTTTCCTACCTGCATAACAAAAGATCATTAAATCTAGTAGGTATGTGGTCTACAGAAATACCAACGGCTCCAGATGTTTAACCAAACTAGTTGTGGAGAACATTTCATACTTCATCTCCTCCTGAAGTCTGCACTGGTGTCCAGGATCTCAATGAAAATTTAACCAATATAACATTCAGTTCAGTCAACATAACCAACATCACCAAAATCGAAACAAAGTTTATAAAACAGTTTGGTCAAAAAGTGTTCAGACACCTTGGTAATGAATCATAGAAAACTATAGTGTATGCTGACTATGAAGATTATTCTAGAAAGCAAATCACTTGTCGTTCAGAAAACCTCAAGTCCAAAATATTATTTTTAAACATCGAATAGTCAGTTTATTATCTATCACTGGTTGTTTGATAAGCAGGTCCCTTTTGCAACTGTCTGCACTACTCATTTTCTCTAATTTATTTTCGGTAAAACAAGTGAGTGGGTAGGTTCAGCATAAAACGTTTCACCAACTGTTAAAAAGTCGAAATGCACACAGAAATCACATCCACACTCGTGCAGTTGGCAATGAGCATCACCTATTGTGTGTGACAGCTAATCATACTACCTGGCTGTATACACCTCGGTAGCTGAAGCGGATTCGAACCAGTGACACATTGCTTGAAAGTCAACTTGGTTAAACTAATGAGCCACAAGTCAAACAACTATTAAGGTAATATCGTCATTTTTCTCTCACATGTAAGCATAACTTGTTTTTTTTCCATGGAGACTTCTGTAAAATAAATCTCTGTCATTCTCATTACATACATATACACACGTTTAAAGGATACTTTCAACCTTAAGTTCATTTGTAAAGCCAACAAAATATTACTGCTTAGAAGCTTAATACAACAACTGGTTTTGTTAATCTACATAGTCATTTCACATATACAGAAAAAACGAAGCAGACAAATACTCAAAAAACGCTAAGTCTTGATAATTAGATAAACAAATTTACATCTATTTACATTAACATTAGTAACTACTGTGCTGAATACAGACAAGTACAAAAAATCTAACAACAAAAACAACTTACAGGTAAGACCCAAGGTTGTGATCACAAAGAGATCAATGTACAGAAACTCCAGATCAGAAATAGAGCTACCGATCTAGAAAGAATAGAACAAGGGGGAAAAAAGCTAATTCTTTTCCTACTTGATCTCGTTTACCATACGTGACGAAGGATGCATTTCCTGACTATACGGTCAGTTTCATACTACTTCGTAACATTAAGTAGTGCCGCTCATGTCTTCTACTTTCTTTATACTCTGAAGTTTCTGTACCAATAGCGTTAGTTTCTCGGGAAAGCAGTGGTAGCCCGTGCCCAAGCTTCCCTTTTTAACCAGGCAAAAGACTGGCTAGTAACTAGCGAACTAGTTCAACCAGGACTCCGAAGCAAAGACAGGAGTGAAAAAAGCCTCCTACCTACTATCACCGATGATCTTCCTGATTGTAGTCGGCTCGACTCGACTCGACTCGACTGGAATCATGCAACAGACAACTGTGAGGAACGAGAAGATGGGCATACGCTAGCTGGACCGATGAAAAGATCCCACAAGAAGATTTGGATTTCACCGATGATGATTTATGTCCAATATCTCATGTTCCACAAACTCCAAGATCTACAGACAAAGATTAACAAGTTGACAAAAGAGGCAGCCAAGGAAGACGGGACTCCCTTCAGATGGACATAGAGAAGACAGAGGTGATGAAGATATCCAACCAACAACAACAAACACCAATCACCATCAACGGGAGAAACCTAAACCAAGTAGTCTCTCTTTCACCAACCTGCCTAAACAGCATCGTTTCAACTACAGGTGGTGGCACAAATGACGATGTCAAAGCCAGCATCAGGAAGACAGTAAGATAGGCCTCCCTTCATTAATCTGAAACCAGTGTGCAGATCTACTACGCTGCACTGCACTGCACTGCACTGCACTCAGCATAAGGCATGAACAAGACCTGGATTTTCAACACTAATTCGGTCAAGTAAGTCGGTGATTCAATGTGATGGTTGAGAGACTTGGAGCGTTACGAAAAGCATTTACAACAAACTACAGACACTCATCAACAACTGCCCCCTACGCTAGTTCGATACTGAAGATCAGATGGGTAGAATAATAAGAATAAGCAACAAGGAACTCTGGCAGAAGAAAGTGGAGATGGATTGGACTGGGTATACACTGAGAAGATCGATTGGGGATATCGTGCGTCATTTCAGGCCGTCAAGTGGAGAACAAATGCTAAACGACGAGTTGGGCGTCTGAGGCAAGGATGACATTTACGAGATGGTGTGAGATTGACGAACTCTTTGTAAAGTTATTTCATATTAATATAACTGTGGATACTTCACGATTCGAGGTTCGTATTTTACTACTTACTATTGTTTAGTAACATAGAACCATATTACAACAAATCCTAAGATTTTAGGCGTAATTGAAGCATTCGGTTTTTATAGTTGGGAAGTTGCTTCGTAGTTTTGGTTCCGAATTTCTTAGAAAGAAATTCATAAAGATTATTCATGCATTTCAGAAAGGAAATGCGAAAATTTTAGACGAACGATAATCTGATTAATTCACTCCAATAATGGAATAGATCAACTTAAACCATATTCATTAGATCAACACCGTCAACAACAATAATAACAACAGTAAAAGTCACACAAGTAAACCCACATTTTGGTTTGATTCAACAGTGGATTATGTACAATTAGGTCAAGATATTTGTTAAATTGCACATTTCACATGGAACACTAGAGCATAAAGTTGAATAAATCTCAATAAATAGAAAGGAGTAAACCCTTTGATACACGCTTAATCAGCTATTTCTCTTTCTAATTAGACGCATATTTTGACCTCATGTATCGTTTGTTTCAACTTATTAGTATTATATGTGACCCTGTAAAGGGCAAATTGTACACTTTGACAAATATTTCCAAAGAAAACATAATTTAATAATTATTATTCTTAGTATGCACAACTGCTTCTTCAATAAATATATTGAAGTGCAGAAAAAGAAACTCAGTATATGTATTCGATGATGAATATAACTGTAGTAGGATCAACGCAATCACCCTGAGCTCCATGATCGGGTAACTTGGCGTCTCAACAACTAAATACACACCACATCTCACAATAAACAAGTTTGCAAAACCTGCCATTACTTTGCCTTTATGAATGCTAGTCATGCAGATTCACAATTATCCAGACTGAAAATCAATGATCATCAACTAGTTAGTCGGCAGACTAATAATCACTCACTCTCTCTCTCTCCTCACACACACACACACACACACAAACACAGTAAGCGTCATTCACTTCTCTGTCATACGAAGTAAGTGAGAAATTAATGTCACAGTAAGTAATAAATACGCATCTTCAGATAAAAAACAACAGAAACCTTGTTATGTTTGCTTGGTAGTGGAGTCCAACTGACAAATCGTAAATGGAACGAAACACACATTCTCGATTCCAATCATCATGTAGTGAAAATAATATCAAAATAAAACTTGAACCAATATTCAGACATCCATTCACATCTTGAGAGTAATCGATCAACAAGAAATTACAATCAGTAACAAAAGATATCAATTTACAGTCATCTCTTTGCAACGATGGAATCGAGAGATATGCTTTCGACTTTGGAGAATAGTTATCGAAATCTGATTTCTGGGAAAATTTAGCCCAGAAACATGATAACAGAATGCAGTGACCGATTATAAACTAAGCCTTCTTCCCACTTCATGTTCTTTTATTAGTAAATTCAAATTAACTTAGTAATATTGTCTGCATGGGTAGGTGCTAAATATAATACAATCCAGCCACAGTCCAGATTTTCATCTCACCTTCAATCATCACCCAGTACAAATACTAGTCTGCTAAACTACCGCTATCTTAGATAGTCAAATCATAATACAATCAGTGTGTATGCAGACCCACCAAACAACCTATAGCAAAGCAGATTTAAACCAAATACTAATTATACAAACAATAAACTTACATAATACAAAAGGATAACTGAGAAAAACTGAATCATTGAATAACCAACCATAAATTTAAATGCACCAAAACTAGTAGTTAAAGCGCAACGACCTTCACGAATCAGTGTTGGAACACAACTGATATTCTGTTGTTTCGATGTAAACGGACTGGCAACACTAGCTTCGGCTTCACTTAAAGCGATTCCAGTATGTGCCACCTTTAAAGCACCACAGTCATTAGCACCATCTCCACACATGGAAACAAAATAACCAACTGATTGGAATGCTTCGATCAGTTGGGCTTTTTGTTCAGGCAGGAAACGAGCAAACACAGTACCTTTGACAACAAGCTGTTGGACAGAAAGATCAACAAATATACAAAAATATGACAGTTATATTTATACTGAATACTTCAGTCACACCTTAAGATACAAAGTTGATGCGAAACATCTCCAAACGGTAGTGAATGAACTGACGCTAATTAGTACCATCGTACATGGTGTATACAAGACTGCAACCCTAATCTGCTACTGAACCTTCAGTTTAACAGCTAAAGAGGCAGATCAGAAAGCCTTATAACACAGTTTCCAATATCGGCAAAGCCTGGACTGGGCTGGGTCAGAAGCATTCCTCTGGTAAATCAACAATTAAGCCTTTAGTCCGATTTATGGCTGGATACTTCCTGTTATTGTTTAGTTTGGACTGGAATGATTAACTTCTATTAGCATATGAGCTCCTATGCAGATGGTTGGACATAGCTGGTAATCTTATGATTTTGAATATTTCTCAAATAAATAAAAACGTATATCCTCGATTTCACCGTTACCTAATATTCTTCTTTTTGTTTGACTCTATAGATGAAAGTTTTAGTAAAGCCATTATACCTACCGATTTCAGACCTTATAATTAAAAAAATATCGACTAATACTACTACAGTGCTTTTGATATTTTAGTGACAATGATGAATAACATATTACTGAAACCTCTGTCATCTACATTGAAGTAGAAGTACTATTTATTGTTTTTAGATATTCCTTCCATGTAGGATAAAAATTTTCAAATATTTCATAGTCGACAATACGTTTATTTCACGAATGGAAAGAAAGGAACGATACTTCGGTGTGAGATTTCAGGAGTCACCTGATAGGTAAACATAGACCTAAATTTCCTGTTTGTTGATACTCATCAGTAAGGCGTAACTCTATACAGGAGGAAACTGATATCCCTCAGTGATTCAAACCTGTTCAATGCCAAGGTTTTAGGACAAATGACTGAAACATTGAGAATCAATCAGAACTTGAAGAATAAAGCATCGCTTTCAAACCTTCCTAGTAATTGTTCAGAAACACAAAACCTAGGTACAGAGTTACCCATCAATCAACTTTCGATCTTTAACACCAAGACAGGGTGGCTAGAGTGTCGTATCAATTAGGTTAACGGTCACACTGCAAACTTGATCGACAAACTTCAATCAGTGACGAGGACTGAGAAATATTCAACTACACCAGACACATAGGCAGAATCAACGTACAACCACGTACACAACCCCATCAGCTAAAGTTGTTGCACTTTACAGCAGTATAAAAAGAACACGTGAAACGAAAAAAGGTGACATTAAAGTTATAAAAAATATATCAGAGAATAAACAATATGAAGATAAAGGTTAATGTGGATATTCAAGCTCTAGATGTCAAGGAGCGAATATATCTGCGCCATTCTAACCGATTTTCAGCCATGTCATCAACAGTCCTCTACCAGGGATTCCTTTTGTTTCATTGATCCTAAACAGACAGTCTATATCCCTCCACACCACTCAGACCAAAATTAGGAGACTTTATCGAGGTAGGCGGTAGACTGGCATGTTCAACACATGTACAGGCCATCTCAGCCTATGAAGGTTTACAACCTCATCAATCAACTTCCATATTTTGCCCAGTACCCTTCACTTGACCTCAACTACATTGGTTACTCACTGGTGAATTATATCAATCATTATCAACATAGGACCAGGCATTACTGCGTAACGGTCCGAGTTGCCACACCTCATATCACTACATCAAGCAGAAAGGTAGTGAGGTGAAGGATGAAGATAAGTGAATGAAGTCAAAAGAAATATAAAGTACGAGAAGAAAGGAAAGAGGAGCGACAGAATGGTGAGGATAATGTGTATACACATCTGCGCCACTAACATCGGTTCTGAGCCATATCACCTAGGTCTCCAACCACCCACTCTGCATCACCCCACATGGCTCAAACAAACAGTCTGAGACTTCATACATTGGTCCCATGTTTTAGTCTGGCCACCTCGAGCCCTTTTCCAGCCTAGACCTACTTCGGTCAACATTGTGTGACGAGGCAATCGGTGACTAGGCATACGTAGTACGTGTCCCAACCATCTCAGTCGATGAAGGTTCATAACCTCGTCAACTGACTTACCTCTACTACCTAAAACTCTACACCTAACTTCTGCATTACTCACGTGGTGCGGTGACACCACGGAATATGGCCTATAGTACGAAGGCAACGGTGGCCAAACACGTGAAGCCTTCTCATGTCTTCCACCTTCAACGGGTATGTTTCACAGCCATACAGTAGAACAGATTGGACTGCTGTGCAGTACACGCGACACTTAGTAGAAAAACACATATCACGAGGTACCATAGGTGGCGTAAATTGGCAAAAGCCAACCAAGCCTTTTGTATCCGTGCAGAGATCTCATCGCAACTTACCCACCACGGTTGATCCTACTTCCCAGGTGAGTGAAGTGATCAACAAACTCAACCACTTCACTCTCTATTGTTAGCCGCGGCACAGCTGAAAACCAGTCCTGGAGCAACAATTTGCATTTGGGTGGTGAAAATCGCATCCCAAACATTCTCAAATTCCCACTCAAAGGTTCAGAAGACTCTGCATCTTGTTAGCGTCTTCACCTAATAGGACTATGTCATCTGCATATTCTAGATCTAAAGAAAATTCACCTGTGATCGGGTCAACGTCTGTGTAATCAGGTGATGAGAGGGAAACCTCCATAAGAATATCTATGATAAAATTAAATAAGAATGGGGATAGTGGGCATCCTTGACGGACACCACTTGATGAGTATAGCTCCCTGGACAACTCACCATAGGCTCTAACATGCCCACAAGTGTTCGAGTAGAGAGCGTTCAATAAGGTGATGTACTTACTCGGCATGCCTTTCAGTGAGAGACATTGCCGTAAGACGCACGATATCCCCAATCGATCTTCTCAGTGTATACCCAGTCCAATCCATCTCCACTTTCTTCTGCCAGAGTTCCTTGTTGCTTATTCTTATTATTCTACCCATCTGATCTTCAGTATCGAACTAGCGTAGGGGGCAGTTGTTGATGAGTGTCTGTAGTTTGTTGTAAATGCTTTTCGTAACGCTCCAAGTCTCTCAACCATCACATTGAATCACCAACTTACTTGACTGAATTAGTGTTGAAAATCCAGGTCTTGTTCATGCCTTATGCTGAGTGCAGTGCAGTGCAGTGCAGTGCAGCGTAGTAGATCTGCACACTGGTTTCAGATTAATGAAGGGAGGCCTATCTTACTGTCTTCCTGATGCTGGCTTTGACATCGTCATTTGTGCCACCACCTGTAGTTGAAACGATGCTGTTTAGGCAGGTTGGTGAAAGAGAGACTACTTGGTTTAGGTTTCTCCCGTTGATGGTGATTGGTGTTTGTTGTTGTTGGTTGGATATCTTCATCACCTCTGTCTTCTCTATGTCCATCTGAAGGGAGTCCCGTCTTCCTTGGCTGCCTCTTTTGTCAACTTGTTAATCTTTGTCTGTAGATCTTGGAGTTTGTGGAACATGAGATATTGGACATAAATCATCATCGGTGAAATCCAAATCTTCTTGTGGGATCTTTTCATCGGTCCAGCTAGCGTATGCCCATCTTCTCGTTCCTCACAGTTGTCTGTTGCATGATTCCAGTCGAGTCGACCACAATTAGGAAGATCATCAGTGATGGTAGGCAATCATGTCTTACTACTGTCTACACTTCAAAGGCGTCACTGAGCTTTCCATATATATATATATATATATATATATATATATATATATATATATATATATATATATATATATATGTATATATATATATATATATAGCAGTAGCAAGGTGCTTCCCTTGCATAACCAGAAATGTCACGCTGATACTGCCTTCTCTGTGGGAATGGAGAGGTGGAAAAAGTCGGGCACAAAATAGCACACCCCTCTCTGGTCCAAAGTCCTCCGATAATAAACGATATGGGTTTTCTCTGCCCAATGTGAGAACAACGAAATCCCGAAACGAAAATCCACAAAACGCTATGGGTAACAGGTCTCAACCAGATGTTCCATGGGCTGTGTGGTCACACAAATCTACTTCTCTTTCAGGCACCCTAATAAGAAATAGCCTTCCACGGTGTGGGAAATCGGGAAATGTCAACAACCCGAACAATCCCAGGAGTACACAAAATCCAACAACTGAGCAAATTATACATTGATCCAACTAATATTAAATGGCAAGGTTTAAGGCCGACGACACTGTCAAACGATTAATACGGTATGTTTCACGACTGATGAGTTATCATCCTAAGCAATTACGCATTTCTAAATTCTCAAATAGACAAGTAATCACAATACGCAGAATATTCACTTCTCAATACAGTAAAATTGACAAGTTCATTCGATAGGCAAAGCAACCATCACTACTAACCTTCGGTATTAGCCAGGGATAGTGTTCTCGGATGATCGCCCATGTTTTGCCCGACATAGCCAAGTGAAAATCGGGTCGATCAAGCATTTTTATAGATACAGGACAAGTGCTTCTTAAATGAACATTTGGTACAGTGTGAATTCGATCTCTCAAAGATGAAGTACCGCTCACTGGATTGTATTCATGGTTTTTGAGTTGATGACTTTGTTCATCAACACAAACAGTTGGTATCTGTGTTACATCGGTCAATGGACTGGATGCAGGCGAAGAACGAGGTCCACTACTACCTGTTGAGCTAATAAGAGGAATTAAACATGTAAATGTAATGAATATTTGAAAAACGAAGATGAAAAATAAAAAACTTACATGAATCAGAAAACGATAGAAAGCATTTCATACAATGAAATTTAAACTGATATGAACAACATGAAGCTCAAAAGAGTAAGTCAATCATCTACTTTGCTCAAAAGATCATCTTTTTAACCAAACTTTCTATACTGAGAAATGCATTAGGTTAGTTCAACTTCAGAAAAAATATCAGCTAAACTAACGCAAATCAGATATTCACAAATATTTACTGCATATGCAACACTTTCTACCACTCGGGAATATAAGGTTTCACGAGTACATCAAACAAGTATCATATTACATGATCCACTGAACAAGAAATGATAATTCAATTTGAAAGATTGTAGGGTCTATTTGATTGATTCATTTCAGTTTGGCATTCATTATGGACTGAGATCAGTTGGAGAAACAACGGAAACCTGGGAGCATTGAATAGCTGTTTTTTTTCCCAGCAGTGCGCATCCATGACTCCATCACGAACCGAGCCCACGTCGACCCCTTGCGAGGTCATGGTTATGCATGACTAAGGAATACCATATTGGGAAGAAACAGCCATCCAGTGATTCTCGGTTTCCAATGGTTCTGCAACTCATCTCACTCCGAGATGAATACCAACCTAAAAAAAGATGTTATTGAAAGCGATAAAGGGAAAATAGACATGTGACATAGTGATAATAGAGTGTGAATTCATCTGTATCTTCATAAACAGTTTTGTATGATGTATGCAAAAGTCAGGAAAGCTAAATTCAAACATTTCATAAACTAATGTCAATGCATTAGTCTAACCGGTCTTAATTCTTTTCCAATCATATCCAGCTACTGGTAACAAAATGATTTAGGCATTATTGATGGGTCGCATCATTTGTAACAGTTTTTCCAGCCACCAGGTGGTCGATGAAGATTCACAAATGTATCAACTAACAAGTTGCTCAACTTTTTCTCATCATGGGTTGGAAAGAATATTGTTGATTATTTTGTAGATACAGTAGATTATGGAAGACCATACTGAATACTGAATAAATCGTTGAATGTCAGGTAACTGAAATAGTTCTGAGGATCTGTATAACTTGTTCCTTAATACTCCGTGCATCGTTTGGTCACACGGCGATTTTCCAGTTGAACATAATTTTAAATAATGAACAGAAAATTAATTTTAAAACAGAATTATTATTTTTATTATTAAGTTGAAGAAATAACTTTCATGTGGTTAGAGAACTGAAAGTGGAATTCCTGACCAAATAGTTTATCAACAATCACACATTGTATGATGCTGGAAATGATTATTTGCCTACAGTCGGATTTCAGGTCATCATTTAATTGTACAGAGTTTAATTAGTAGGTAATTCATTAAAATCTACTCAGTCTGATTGTGTTAAAAATACTATCTCACCGATATATCCTATTTCAATGAGGCACCTGGTTTTCAAAATGTCACATTCATGTAAAATGTGGTGTTAATGTATTGACAGTAGAATGAAAACGATTTCTAAGATAGTCTTCATCGAGGACTGACACTAGTTGGACAAACACTGAAAAGCTGAGAGCACTGAACGTCTACTTCACCTTAATATGGGACTCCTTATCATCAGTGTGTACCCACAACCTCAATACATGCCCAAAACAGAACCTTAAGAGTGTCTTCTTTTTCACGCTCCTTCAAGTGAATAATCTTGTCAGTCGTGGAAAAGGCAATCTGAATCTTATTTCACTACCCTCCACGACTTTGTAGTAAAATAATCAGGTTGCGAAAAATGTTCAACGTGCAGCTGGTTTGTTTCTACACATAATAATATTCATTCACAAAACTTAAACTTTCGCTTTAAAACTTTTATTAGTGTTGGGTCGTCTACAGCTTGAATAGAATTAATGAAATATGAAATTAAACCTGATGTTCTGGCGTACGAATCAGCGTCAACATCTCAAAGAACAGTCTGCCGCTGAGACTATGGTCACCACTCATGAGTACTTGGCAGTTGAATCCATATCATATTACCTGAATACTGGAGACGACAGTTGTATAGCAATACAATCAATAGAAGTTGTTCCGATTAAAATAAAACTATCAAAACGAAATCTAGAAAAAAATTAATTCAAATACTCCTCTTGGAGAACCCTATGAAAGACAAACCAATCGAGATAAACTGACTATTAGCAAACCTTACAAGACAGCTGAATATTTAATAGTATATGCATATAAGTTTCAGAGTATTTCAAAATCTTAAATACTTACACACAAGGAGCACATTTGCACATACCACGCAACCATTTACGAGAGCTTTTAAATTCTCTAAGGGAGGAATCCATCATAGCTTTATCAGTTGAATTAGTGCCTGGATAAGATTTGTGGTGGTTTAGCGTTGTTGCTGTCTCAGTGGTAGCAGTCACTTCCGTAACTGGTTTGTGTAAATCTTCGGCATAATGAAATTCAACTAACGAATCATCCTGTTGTCCTAGAATTTTCTCTTGGTATAGAGAAACCGTTGTATTAAAACTTGAGCGCACATGTAGCCTATCACTCTCAGTGTGCATTGTTGTTGTGGGAACTCCCGATGATTTAACAAAGTAGGAATGTTGATTTGAAGGTAGATTATTCAGTGATTCTACTGTCATATCATCCTCATTAGATGCAGCAAAATGTAGGCGAGGTGACTCGACAACTTCAAGAGGTGGTGGCTTTGCAGAGACAAGAATAATGCGATCCAATTCGTCAATCATTTCGGAATCTCTAGCTACTGATAATGCAGTTAGCATATTATCACCTTAAAAAGTAAATTAAAAAAAGGGCAGCAAAATCACTTCTTCAAATGAATTAATAACAAATTACAACTTTAAACTCAATCATACAATTACTTCTGAGTCATTAATCTATCCAAGCATATGTTGTGTCCACACACAAACCCATGAAACTGTGACTTCCATCCCATGAGTCACAAGTTGGAAAACTACTACATCCACCGAGATCTGAGCAGAAGTGTGTACCATAGTTGCTAGATACGTGTCAGTGAATTTCTTCTGACACATACTATATTTTGTAGTAGATTACTCAACAATGTAATCCTTACGGAGTCAAGTAGTCGCCTGCTAGTATTCTGCACCACCAAAGCATACAATTGGATAAATCATCCGATAAGCAGTAAACACAAAAACTCATAAACCTGCTTCTGATAGTGGTGGATAGCAGTCGCATCTAGAAAGCAAGTTTCATCTTATTTTTTGGACTCATCACCTCGATGTACTTACATCACACTACTACAACTTACTAATCAGCTCCAATAAATCAGAACAACGATCTATGGATTACACCTATGATAATGAAGTTGATCATATGAACTTGCCATTGAAACAACCTCGATAGACTCAAACTTAAATGGCTAAATAAATCAAGTCTTGGTTTTAAAAATAAACAGTCCATATGGCAGATAGAATGAACATCAAGGATTGTGTGTTTCGATGCAATCTCATAGATTATGATATTAAAACAGTCGAAGACAACAACATATAATGAATACACTTAGACAATGTTATAGCAATAAAGTTAAATACAACACACACGATTGGATTAAAATCTGACAACTCATTTCATATGCTAGATGTATCTGATCACTATTGCCGGGGGGAAATATATCCTACTAAAACACACATAACGAATGAAATTCAGGACCTGTAGTTCCCAGGAACGTATACGCACACATATATCACTTTACAAGAATACATAGGATTAAAAAAAGAGAACAGTAGCAAGGGTAATGCTAAAATATGTATAACCAGCTTGTTGTCCAGTTGGAAGAAATGACAACTACAGACAGGAAACTTCCCTGTGAATTTCCACACTGTTATCTTTGTCTACCTGTACAATAGTGTAACAGAGAAGTGTAGCCATATTCGAATGGATAACCACGAAATGAGAGAAGACAAAACAGTGAAAATAATAGTACTACATGTCAAAATCAACATCGTATATCCCAAGTCATTTCTGTTATTACAATCAACCATCTACCTATCTATATTCTATCATACATCTCTGTCAGTAATTCTGCACTGTCCTGAACCTCCCTTAGTGATAAAGAGTCGAATTCATGGAATATCATCTCTGGGCTTCTAGTTCCAAACAACGTATCTATCACTTCAATAACGGAACCCTCAATCAAATTGGACAAGAAACTTTGCAAGTTAAAAATATGAGATCTGCGGTTACCGACGTATGCTGTGTTTCCAAAAGGTATGTGCAGAACCCAATTGTGCTGCTGATCCACTTACCCAATGTGGTGAGTATGCAAAAGTCATGCACTGAGTATCTGGCGTCTTTTCAGCTAGTCTTCACAGTCTTGTAGGTAGAGGTAAGTCTAACACTAATTCTTACAGCAAACGCGCCACTGATCGACCTCATTATGGTCGTTTATGCGCTTTCCTGTTGAAAAGTGAAGTGGGGACTACAGGAATAGAAAGCAAAGTAATTGAGCACGCTGGTAATTTCATTTTGCTGGGAAGAAAGACCATTTCTACATTGACTTTGCGAAAGTTATGGTGCAAGTGGCATAGAAGATTGCACACTAAGGCTCATCTGCACTCCAAAAACATATGCGCCATGATAGACAAACTTAGCCATCAGGGCATACCATATAAGAAGGTTTTGGAGATTTGACGCCCAATATGTCCATACCATTTCATGTACGTCCTAAAACCAGTTGACCAGGGTAGAGTCTTCGGTAAACTTTGTGAATGTGGTTCATGGTTGTGGTCACTGATTATATATGACGAGTCGCCGTTTCGATCACCACACTGTTACTTAGAGTGCCGTTGGTTAGGTTAAAAGAAAGCCACAAGTGATCAGACTAAAACATGATGTCACTTCATGACTACTAGTTTGAACCAGGGAACGAAACGTAGGCTTTCGAGTGAGCATCTGTGTGACTATCAATACAGTTGCTTCCAGATTAGGAGATATACAGCAGAACATATAGCAGCAGCTTGATGCAATATATTCACCGTTCCACGACCTTTTGTGATTTGTTGTAACCCCTATTCCTTTCATCTTGTGGCTTTCTACAACTTTCACTAAATCATTTCAACTTCTTCCAATTATGTTTAGTTGTTTCATCTACTCATAAGCTGATATGAAATGTAGCAACTTGAACTGTCAGGCGACAGTAACATGTGATATTGAATTACTCAGTGTTTAAAAGCAAAGTAACCTACAAGCAATAAACTATATGTTCATCATCAACGCACATTACCCGGTGTTATCAGCTGATCGCGGATACAATTCCTAATAATAATAATACATCTTAGTGGACAACAACATACCAGTAACCATTACAGGTCGAATATTTGCATATCGTAGTGTTTGAATCACTTGTGTCGTCTCTGGCTTCAGACGATTCTCCATGATAAGTAAGCCAAGAAATAATAGATCTTGTTCAACACGTTCTCTAGGCACACGTAAAACTTTCGTGTAGCTCGCTTTCAATGGTTTCCAAGCTAATGCTAGTACTCGATAGCCTTCTCGTGTATACTCCAATAAAGTTGAATGGAAATCACTTGGAACTGAAATTTAACAACAGAAAACAATTCAACGTTGTAAATGTCGTAGATATAAGCTCCTAATGCAAATCTGAAAAGACGGTTTGACTGTGACAATATCAAGTTATAAAAAGAAAACAAATACTTGATACAAAAGTATGCCAGATACAAATAAGAACAGCAACCGGGTCCTGTATTCCAGACTCATTGGGAACAACATCACTCACTCGAGTGCAGGTACATACCACTGACGAGTCCTAAATAGAACCAAACCCGTGTATCCCATTCAACTGCTACTTACAAAGCAGACTACAGGTCTTATCCTACATAATAATAATCACTGACAAGAGTTCAGTGAATCACTACTAAGTTGACAATTGAAAAAGATCAAATCCAGAAAAAAGACAAGTAGACATTCTAGTGGATAAAACAACATAAAACGATCTACACTGTATACATTAGTGCTGGTGGAGAATATACAAAATGTTAGGATGGAAACAGCAATAAACCACAAAGTGTACAACGGACCAATGATGAGAAATGTAACAGACAGACCTGTGAAGGGCTGTAAATTGTGTAACATGAATGCATACACACACACACACACTGATTCGAAGCAGTCATCACTGTGGATGATCAATGACAAGTCAGGTAATCAATCCGTTTTCTTCTCGTTTACCATTACACAAATATCATGCCAAATACTCAACAGAAATATGTAAAAGCACACACACACACACACACACATGTTTATCTATTGATAAACATGCATAACGCCTAGTCGAATAAGTAATCAAAGAATAACTGTCGCATGCACATATAGTTAAGCAAAATTATTCACTTAAAGTAATAATTATGATAAGAATTAGAATTATGCATAAACACTTGGAAAGCATGCATAACGCAGAAAAAAACTGCATGATTCCATCTACAATGTTCAATGGATTTTCTGAATAAAACATAATCCAATGACAAAAAAAATTGAAACAATTTAACATAAATTCCGCTTTATAACAACAACTTTGAATATGAGAAGACTCTAAGACAGACTAAAATGGGCATGAGAGAATAGACATATTGATAAACACACACACACACACACACACACAATGATGTGCATAAACAAGGTCGAACAATTTTAAAGTGCACAGTGAATCTGACGACATATTACTTAAACAGTAACTCCACAGACGCTTCATTCATAAACCCTGAATATTTGTGACTCCAAAGGACATTATTTTTGAACTTGTCATACTCTCAACCAAGGTTATAAATGAGCACTGCTGAGGAGTCCCGTACTAGGACGAAACATACTTTCAATGCTTCTTTAGCTGATGAATACCAACTTGAAATCAATAAACTCTTCACAAACCTCTAAATTCGTCAGATAAGTGTCCAGTTTCATAATCTATTTATATTTTCCTTACTTAATTTTCTTGTGATTCCCGTGTTAACTTCCCAGGAAACCTTGAAGTCATACACAAGTTGGTATTGTGAATGCCTTACAACCTATGAAAACTGTCACAAACTAACTTCTGAGTTACATTACATACTTGATTTTCGCCTACAACTCTTCAACTTTGCCATTGACAATATACTAGAGTAGACGGAAGAATGTGAGTACTAGTTTAGATGTTACCTGAAAGAATGTTCACCTTACTGGCCACTGGCAAAAGAAAACCTTCAAGGGACGTAACAAGGGACAAATTAGGACTATTAGGAGCTCCATACTTCCACACTTAGTTGACACAGGACATCAAGTGGTTACTGGAAAAGCCTTCGAAATTATCCATCAGATTCCAATTAATTTACCTCATGGATTACGCACTTGGTTACTTCACATAGCAGAGGCGATTGCAATCCACCTTCACAAACCTAGCCTTTGTATCCAAAAGAAGTTTGTTCGACCACCTTCATTACAGTGGCAGCCAACATGATGTAACTTCTAGGTTTATTCGGCGCACCTCTTCCCCTTCTTGTCACTATCAATATTCATATGTCCTATTTTAGGAACCCTATTGATTATTTACATCATTATTTCCGAAACACCACATGATTGGTAATTTGATTAAATTGTAAACCCATATATTTGTGTGGAGCTAAAGATGAAGACCTAATTGAAAAAAAATATATTTCTTCGCTCAATCAGTCTTTTTCTAAATGTCTAAATGGGAATATTCAATGTATACTATATAGCTGTTTCTTTCTTTTCTACCATTCACTATCTTTCTTAACTGTCATCTCCATTATTAGATGGCATACTGCTGTACGCTTGTGCTCTTTCACGTTTATGGTACATAAGATAAATCTGACTTACGAACACTTACTTACTTTATGGATGGAAAAACATTGGGGACTTGCACTTACTTAAAGATAAAAAGGCATACTTTTCACCTTCAATAAAGGCGTTTGTTCATTTTTATTATGATCCCGAAAAAATGTATGGTAAAATTTACAGTGCTATGGCGTCACACAGCATACTCGATTTTCGCCTACAACTCTTCAACTTTGCCATTAGCAGTAAACTAGAGGTGACGGAAGGATTTGATTAGTGATTTACGTGTTCCCTGAAGGAATGTTAGTCTTACTGGACACTGGCAAAAGAAAACTTCTGGGATCGAACCCAGAACCTACAAGCTCCGCGGCCAGCAATGTTAACAGTGGGCCACTCGGTCTTTGGTTAATACACAATATCAGTCCCAAAGTATCAATAGGTGATAATTAACTAAGGTGATTACGACAGAACCTCAAAATATAGAGTAACTATAGACTTAAATTTCTGGGGATTCTAAACAGGTTGTTATATAATTCTTACTTTATGTAATAATGGCCAACAAGTAGAGAGAATAAATGACTAAAGAAGAATAATTGGAGACAAAAAAGGGAAGGGAAAGATGGCTAGAACGGTGATACCAATGTTAACTGGGTGGGAGCAGTCAGCGGGGGAGTGCTGTTTGACCACTACTTCGTGCTTGACGGCACTCGTTAGCAAGGAGTATCTGAAACATCGACGGAACTGAGGTCTTGTCGGAGACTCGAACCCGCCTCGACTGAATTTCACGGTAATGTCACCATGTAAGCAATGAAATTACCAATAACTTCTCATACTACATAGTTCCGCCTACCCGTCCCCCCATCCTACTTGTCAATCCATAGCTCATGCTAAAATCAAATTATGCAGAAAACTGAAACGTGAGTGAATAGAGGTGAATTTCTCAGTAAAGTAGTGTACAGAACTATGATTAACTTTATATAACAGATTACCAACAATTCTAATTCCGTCATCTGAAAATAATGCGCATCATTATTATTATTATTAGTCCCTTGGGTTCCTAGTGGAACATAGGGCTTCAGTAGCACGCCTCCAGTGACCTCTGTTCTCTGAGATCTTTTGAACCTGGTCCCACGACAGCCCAGAAGCTCTCATTTCCTGCTCGCACGACCTCCTCCATGTCACCCTTGGACGTCCAACTCGTCGCTTCCCATGGGGATTCCACTCGAGGGCCTGACGCGTGATGTCCTCAGTCGGCCTTCTCAGTGCATGGCCAATCCATCTCCACTTCTTCCTGCATATTTGTTGCGTGATAGGTTCTTGGTTGGTTCGTTCCCAGAGTTCCTTGTTGCTTATTTTTTCTGGCCATCTGATCTTCAGCAGCGAGCGTAAGCAGTTGTTGATGAATGTCTGTAGTTTATTGGAAATACCTTTCGTGACGCGCCAAGTCTCTGAGCCATACAAGAGCACTGACTTGACGTTGGTGTTGAAAATCCGTATCTTGTTCCGCATGCTGAGTGCAGAAGATCTCCACACTGGTTTCAGGCTAATGAATGCCTGTCTTGCTTTTCCGATTCTGACTTTGACGTCCTCGTCCGTCCCGCCTGTAGTTGAAACAGTGCTTCCTAGATAAGTGAAGGAGGTTACTTCCTTTAAGTTTCTCCCGTTGACAGTGATTGGAGTTTGTTGTTGTTGATGGTGGTGGTGCGGTATCTTCATCACTTCTGTCTTCTCTATATTCACCTGAAGTCCCGTCTTCGCTGCCTCTTCTATCAACTTGTTAGTTTTTGCCTGCAGATCTTCAAGTTTATGTGACATTAGGCATAAGTCATCGGCGAAATCCAAGTCTTCTAGGTTCTTTTCCGTCGTCCAGTGTATCCCCCTCTTCTCGCTGCCTACTGTTTGCTGCATGATCCAGTCCACCACAATAAGGAATATCATGGGGGATAGTAGGCAACCTTGTTTCACTCCTGTCTTCACTTCAAAGGCATCACTGAGCTTCCCATTGTGGATTACTTGGCATGTGGCATCTTCATATAGTTGTTGAATGAGGCGGATAAAGGTTTGCGGCACTCCGTAGTAATGAAGCAGCTTCCAAATTACCTCTCGGTCGACGCTGTCAAAGGCCTTCTCAAAGTCGATGAAGTTGAGGTGGAGAGGTGATTGCCATTCTATGCTCTGTTCTATGATGATGCGAAGCGTTGCAATTTGGTCTGCACATGATTTGTACTTCCTGAAGCCTGCCTGTTCCGGTCGTAGTTTTGAATCCAGTGCATCCCTTAGCCTCTCCAGGATGATGCGGCTTAATATTTTACTTGGGGTGGACAGGAGAGTGATTCCGCGCCAGTTCTTGCAAGCACTGAGGTCTCCCTTCTTCGGCAGTTTGACAAGGTAACCCTTCTTCCAATCGTCAGGTACCTTCTCTTCCTTCCACACCTTCTGCAATAGTGGTGTGAGCATGGCCGCTGTTGTCTCTGCATCTGTTTTCAGTGCTTCTGGCGGTATTCCATCTGGTCCTGCTGCTTTCCCACATTTCAGTAGCTTTATGGCGTTCAGGACTTCCATTTTCGTTGGGGGATTTATGTTCACTTGTAATTCAGCGGCTGCAGGTGGTATTTCTGGACGAAGTGCAGGTGGTGGTCGATTCAAGAGCTTCTTGAAGTGGTCGGCCCATCGTTTCCTCTGTTTCTCTTCTTTTGTAATTAAATTTCCTTCTTCATCTTTTATTGGTTTCATCTGTGTTGGTCTCTTC